TATGGGTAGTGTTGAGTCTATGGGTAGTGTTGAGTCTATGGGTAGTGTTAGTCTATGGGTAGTGTTAGTCTATGGGTAGTGTTGAGTCTATGGGTAGTGTTGAGTCTATGGGTAGTGTTGAGTCTATGGGTAGTGTTGAGTCTATGGGTAGTGTTGAGTCTATGGGTAGTGTTGAGTCTATGGGTAGTGTTGAGTCTATGGGTAGTGTTGAGTCTATGGGTAGTGTTGAGTCTATGGGTAGTGTTCGTCTCTGCAGTAGGTATGTTGAACTTCTTTCGCTCCATACGTAGCCAACCGCGCTAATCGGAGGTGCGGGGGAGGAACAAACCAGACAAAAAAGCACTTCTGAAGCAATGAGTTTTCAATATTTTTGTGCGCACTAGCTCAAGTGGCATCCCAAAATCGTAAGAGCTGTGAGCGAGCACAGATTCAAGGCCGGCATGGCGCTCGGGACTGGGTGGTTTTATACACCGCGGCAAGTTCGTATTTAAGGCCGAGCCGACCGAGGCGGAGGCCTTGCAAACAGTCGCTAGCACACGGACAACAACCATCATCAACCACCACCACCATCATCACCCCCCATCATCATCACCCCCATAATCATCAACCACCGTCATCATCACCCCCATCACCATCAACCACCGTCATCATCACCCCCATCACCATCATCATCACCACCGTCATCATCATAACAATCATCACCCCCATCATCATCATAACCATCATCATCGCCCCCATCATCATAACCATCATCATCATCATCATCACCCCCATCATCATCATCACCCCCATCATCACCCCCATCATCATCAACCACCACCATCATCACCACCGTCATTATCACCACCACCATCATCACCCCCACCATCATCATTATAACCATCATCGCCCCCATAATCATCAACCACCACCATCATCACCACCGTCATCATCATCATAACAATAATCACCCCCATCATCATCATAACCATCATCATCGCCCCCATCACCATCATCATCACCACCGTCATCATCATCATAACAATAATCACCCCCATCATCATCATAACCATCATCATCGCCCCCATCATCATAACCATCATCATGATCACCACCATCATCATCATCACCCCCATCATCATCACCCCCATCATCATCACCCCCATCATCATCACCCCCATCATCATCACCCCCATCATCACCACCACCATCATCATCACCCCCATCATCACCACCACCATCATCATCATCACCCCCATCATCATCACCCCCATCATCATCACCCCCATCATCATCACCCCCATCATCACCACCACCATCATCATCACCCCCATCATCACCACCACCATCATCATCACCCCCATCATCATCACCCCCATCATCATCACCCCCATCATCACCACCACCATCATCATCACCCCCATCATCACCACCACCATCATCACCACCCCCATCATCATCACCCCCATCATCACCCCCATCATCATCACCCCCATCATCATCACCCCCATCATCACCACCACCATCATCACCCCCATCATCATCATAACCATCATCATCATAACCATCATCATCATAACCATCATCATCACCCCCATCATCATCACCCCCATCATCTACATAACCATCATCATCACCCCCATCATCATAACCATCATCATTACCCCCATCATCATCAACCCCATGATCATCACCACCACCATCATCACCCCCATCATCATCATAACCATCATCATCACCCCCATCATCATCACCCCCATCATCATCATCATCACCCCCATCATCATCACCCCCATCATCATCACCACCATCATCATCACCACCATCATCAACATAACCATCATCATCACCCCCATCATCATCAACCCCATGATCATCACCACTATCATCACCCCCATCATCATCATAACCATCATCATCAGCCCCATAATCATAACCCCCATCATCATCACCACCACCACCACCATCATCATCACCCCCATCATCATCACCACCATCATCACCCCCATCATCATCAACCCCATGATCATCACCACCATCATCACCCCCATCATCATCACCACCACCATCATCACCCCCATCATCATCACCACCATCATCATCACCCCCATCATCATCACCACCATCATCATCACCACCATCATCAACATAACCATCATCATCACCCCCATCATCATCAACCCCATGATCATCACCACTATCATCACCCCCATCATCATCATAACCATCATCATCAGCCCCATAATCATAACCCCCATCATCATCACCACCACCACCACCATCATCATCACCCCCATCATCATCACCACCATCATCACCCCCATCATCTACATAACCATCATCATCACCCCCATCATCATCAACCCCATGATCATCACCACCATCATCACCCCCATCATCATCACCACCACCATCATCACCCCCATCATCATCACCACCACCCCCACCATCATCACCCCCATCATCATCACCAGCATCATCACCACCACCCCCATCATCACCACCCCACCACCATCACCACCCCACCATCACCACCCCACCACCATCATCACCCCCATCATCATCACCCCCATCATCATCACCCCCATCATCATCACCACCACCCCCACCATCACCATCCCACCATCATCATCACCACCATCACCACCACCGTCACTCACATCACACGGGAACGGACATCTCACCGCGATTCAAAGTTGACCGATTCCAACTTGCAGGCCAGCGGGCGAACGGCTCAAAAGCGCGCACTTGAATGCCGCTAAATTATATTAAATCGCTATTATAACGACAACAGAACAACAATAAACAACAAATCAACAACAACAATCAACAACAGAGCTCGCTCCACACCAAGCGTCAATCCTCCTCGATTCAACCTCCCCCTACACTCTGCGCTCAGACACGAGAGAGGACGGAGACACTTGGAGACGCAAGATGCCCTCGGGGCGCAGCTTTCAACGGCGCCGCGGTCACCCCTCTCCCCCCAGCGCATCAAAGGGGCCCCAGGGGCATTTTACTTATTGACAAGTTGCATCGTCGCAGCGCGCCTCGCAATGGGAAAGGCGATGACGCGGAGGACAGATTCCGTACAACGTATAAGCACGGGGGCATTGTTTACACTGGATTTCATAGACCGTATTAGTAACGGCATTAACCAGAATCTGAATATTCTTTGGGTCCATCTTCTTGGTTCTTTCGGTAAAGTCACGTAGATGGGAAGTAATAAAGTCATAAAAATAAAACATAATCAAATATTATATATAATAAAATATATAATAAAATATTATGTTTTATTTTCATTATTGTTTTTTTATTTTTATTATTGTTTTATTGTTATTATTTTATAATAATAAAACATAATAAAAATAAAACATAATAAAATATTATAAAAATAAAACATAATAAAATATTATGTTTAATTTTTATTATTTTATTACTTCCCTTCTACGTGACTTTACCGAAAGAACCAAGAAGATGAATCCCTGCAGTCACGAAAGCTTTAAATCGAAATTCTTTGGGTCTTTAGGTAAATCTACGGATATAGAAAAAAATTACAAAAATCAAAATCACGACGTTTCGATCGCAACAGAAGCAATCGTCTTCAGGCGAAAAAGACGAAAATCTGCCCCCCAACAACCTCGCATTCATCATAGACAGATAGAGAAAGTTGTTTAGATACAAATATCATTTTACATCTGGAAGACTTCATTGAAGACGACATTTCGTGTGAATTTTCTCTCGTCGTTGAGTAGATGGCCTTGCTTGGGGCTCTGTTAGATGCCCACTTCCACCCGTTTGGGATTGCGGGGTCGAGATAAGGCGACACGGAGCTGCTGGTCGTGCCAGAAGACCGCCGCTGTCTGCTGATCGATACCAACGTGATCGATACCAACGTGATCGATGATCGTCTGCCCCTGTGCCCCTCCGTCGTCCATGCAGGGGACACGTGGAGGTTTGCAGCGCCCCCTGCGTGAAAACGACGGAAGGCGTTCATCATATTCATCCACAGATACAAGTTGGGCGTTTTATATTAATAATAATACTACTGGTAGGAACCTCCTGGTTACACCAGCCCACAGGGGATTATTGTGTCCGTCCGTCCGTCGTGCATCCAAAAATGGGAGGGGTGGGGCTGGGTGGAGAGGGGAGGGTGGGGAGGGGCTGGGTGGGGAGGGTCTGGCTGGGTGGGGAGGGTGGGGAGGGGCTGGGTGGGGAGGGTGGGGCTGGGTGGGAGGTGGGAGGGGTGGGGCTGGGTGGGGAGGGAGGGGCTGGGTGGGGAGGGTGGGGCTGGGTGGGAAGGGTGGGGGTGGGGCTGGGTGGAGAGGGGAGGGTGGGTGGGTGTGGGAGGGGCTGGGTGGGGAGGGGCTGGGTGGAGAGGGGTGGGGCTGGGTGGGGAGGGGCTGGTCACCCCGTGGTGCCCTTATAAAACTCAACGTTTCACCTACTCACGCCAGCTTGTGCCCGCCCTCACAGTCGGGCATATTTGCGGAATACACCACGCCGCCGTTGACCCTGCAGGCCATTGACCGAGCAAGCCGACGTTCCTACCAGCTCCCTCCGCAGGAATGTGTTTATATTAAATTCCCTTTTAGTGACGTCATCGCTCTATTTAAAGGGAGGTTGATGAAGAGTCGGGAGGTTGATGAAGAGTCGGGAGGTTGATAATCGCGCGGTGGCGTCACGACGTTTAGCAAACAACGCGAGGGCAGCCATGACGTCATCGGGTAATTATTACGTTAGTGACGCAATCGCCTTGCGTTCAGGTAAGGTCGGGGGAGTTGACAATCGCAATGACGTCACCGCGCCGTCGCGTTGCCGGAGGGGGGGTGTGAAAAACGTCACTGCGTCGTGAGCGTGGTGACGTCATCATGCCGGGGCGGCCGACGACGCGGTGACGTCACCGCGCAGGGGCAAGCCGACGACGCGGTGATGTCACCGCGCAGGGGCAAGCCGACGACGCGGTGACGTCACCGCGCAGGGGCAAGCCGACGAGGCGGTGACGTCATCACGTCGCCCGCGGTTGAACTTGCAAGAGCGGAGTGGTAGCGAGGATGGCGGCGGCCCCGGAGCTCGACTTCGTGGTGCGCAAGGCGCACGGCCTCGCGGGCCGCGACCCGTGGGCGGCCAAGGCGTGGCTACTCACGGCGAGAACCATCTACCCCGGGGACTTCGCCATTCAGGTAAACGGGGGGACAGCGAGCGAGCGAGAGAGAGAGCGCTCAGGGGAGGGGCAGGCCTTGCCGCAGTGTTGACACGCAGGCCTCCATTCATTCATTCACTCGCTCGCTCGCTCTGTCGTTCACGACTTCACTCATTCGTGCAGTCAGAGCGAAGTCGCTCATTGGGCCGTGTTCGTCCTGTTGGTGGAGGAGAGTTGCGGCGGGTGTTGTGTGCACGGTGCGCTTGGCCTGGTTCGTGTTTGTTGATGTTTGAGTGATTTGTTTACATTTCTTGTACGCTGCTGCACCGCTGTTACATGTTTGTGTTGTTTGTTGTTGTAACGTTCTGGACCACGTGCCCCCTACTGGACTTCTGTGAGGGAAAAAAGAGCTGTATTGTTCATCGGATTCCTCGTGCAGTGTAAATAAATAAATATTCTGACTCCAGTCCATTACCCGGGCACACCACATCCAGTATCCCACCGTGGGCTCTGCCACGTGGTCACGTGCCACCACCTCCAGGTTCGCAGCGATACATTGACATATTTAGTGAGGAAAATAAGCCTCGGTTAGTAACCTACTTGCTGTACTGCTGTACTGTGTCCTTACCACCCTCCACCACGCTCCCCACCCCCCACCTCTAGTTTGAAATGTATCTTCTGGAGAAGAATGCTCAGCGAGCGACGGACGCGGCGCGGCTGCTGTGCGAGATGTGAGTACGATGGCTGGGAGATGTTGACTACCTCGCCTGGTGCACAGGAGGTCGTGGGTCACATCCTGACTGACGCCTGCTGCTCTATAATGTCTCATCATCATCACGGTGGCTAGGAGATGTTGACTACCTCGCCTGGTGCACAGGAGGTCGTGGGTCACATCCTGACTGACGCCTGCTGCTCTATAATGTCTCATCATCATCACGGTGGCTAGGAGATGTTGACTACCTCGCCTGGTGCACAGGAGGTCGTGGGTCACATCCTGACCTGACGCCTGCTGCTCTATAATGTCTCTCATCATCATCACGGTGGCTGGGAGATGTTGACTACCTCGCCTGGTGCACAGGAGGTCGTGGGTCACATCCTGACCCTGACGCCTGCTGCTCTATAATGTCTCTGTCATCATCATCATCATCACGGTGGCTAGGAGATGTTGACTACCTCGCCTGGTGCACAGGAGGTCGTGGGTTACATCCTGACCCTGACGCCTGCTGCTCTATAATGTCTCATCATCATCACGGTGGCTGGGAGATGTTGACTACCTCGCCTGGTGCACAGGAGGTCGTGGGTCACATCCTGACCCTGACGCCTGCTGCTCTATAATGTCTCTGTCATCATCATCATCACGGTGGCTAGGAGATGTTGGCTAACTCGCCTGGTGCACAGGAGGTCGTGGGTCACATCCTGACTGACGCCTGCTGCTCTATAATGTCTCATCATCATCACGGTGGCTAGGAGATGTTGACTACCTCGCCTGGTGCACATGAGGTCGTGGGTCACATCCTGACCCTGACGCCTGCTGCTCTATAATGTCTCTGTCATCATCATCATCACGGTGGCTAGGAGATGTTGACTACCTCGCCTGGTGCACAGGAGGTCGTGGGTTACATCCTGACTCTGACGCCTGCTGCTGTATATTTGGAGTTTGCGTGTCTCTTTCTCATCATCATCATGGTGGCTGGGAGATGTTAACTACCTGGCCTGGTATGCAGGAAGTCGATGCCTGCTGTATATTTGTAGTTTGTATGATCTCTCCCCGTGCAGAGTGTGAGTGAGTTTGTGGGGTTTAGGGTCGCAGTAGTGTAGCGGTTAGCGCGCTGCTCTACGAACCGGGCGACACGAGTTGTGATGATTATCTAAACCAGTCCTGGGTCTCCCCTGGGTCGACTCGGCCTCAAATGAGTACCTGGTGGAGTGTGTAAACATCGCCACGAGAGACAAAGGCGGCCGGGCGTGGTGCTGGCCACCCATCCCCTCGTGTGCCGTGCCGGCCTTCTTAGGTGCTCGCTAAACAGCACTTGACCCCACAGACTTTATAAGGCTATCCGGTGCATCTTTGTCTTTGCAGGTTTGTGCAGTTCCCAGAAAAGCCTCCGCTGTGGAGAGAAATCAACTGCATCACCTCCGCTCTGCGTGCAGAAAATCCCGACGCTCAGACACAGTTCTTGCGCTGTGGGTTCACGCACTGCCCGACACGCACGCACAGCCACTCAGCACACCGCTGCATCAACACAGGCAGCAGCAGCAGCTCCTGGGAGTCATCGTTCACAGATTCCACCGTTGTTTGGAATCAGCGTGGACGGTTCCCAGGGGCGGACTATGCAGCAGTGGGCACTGGTGCCTCTGCCGTGCTGATGAGTCCTAAGTAAGGGTGAAAGCGGGCCGCAGTTTGTCTATCGCTGCGTCGCTGTCGGGTCCACAGGTGCTCGCATTTATTTTTGATCATGACCTTCGAAGAGACGACCACAATGCAGTTCTTCAGGAGCTGTTGATGATCTCGTGTAGAATGCACAAAGGCCGAGTGCTTTTCACACGCTGTGTGCGTTGTGTGCAATAGCAACAACAGCAGCAGTCGCAGCAGCAACATAATTAGCGGGACCAGTAGCAATATTATCAGAATCGTAAGCAGCAGCAGTGATAGCAGCGGCAGTATGAGTCGCAAAGCAACAACACAAGTGGCAGTAGGGAGAAGCAGTGGTAACAGCAGGAGTAGCAGCAGCAGCAACAGTGCCAGGAGTGCAACATGCACTCACAGTCGGCAGAGGAGCAGTGAATATAACATGGCTCTTGTATTAGCGCTGTGAGCAGCAGTGTTTTGAGTGTCTAATGGCACCAGTGTGACGCTGCCTTCATGCAGCAGTGGCTAGATAACGGCCGTGTCGTGTGCGCGCTCCGGGCAGGTGTGTTCGAGTGCCTGCCCGCCCCCGTGCAGTGCGACGTGCTGTACAAGTCGGCGGAGCAGCAGTACGGCGCGCTGCAGCAGGCCGAAGCGGTGATGCTGCTGCTGCGACGCTTCCCCGACGCCGTCGTGCAGCACGGGGTCAGTCTCGGCGGCGGCGCCGATTGCTCCGGAGGGGGCTCGTTGCATACAGAGACAAAGATCCTCCTCCCTCCGTATAGCCTCAACAGCTTGTTGGGGCAAGTGCCGTTAGGGAGTAGCAGCACCTGTGAAGGGTGGCGCTGTGGCACACGAGGGGGGTGGGTGGGTGGCCAACACCACGCCCGGCCGCCTTTGTCTCTCCAGTGCTGATGTTTACACCGGGTATTCATTTAAGGCTGCATAGTCGACTCGGGAGAGAGCCGGGACTCCATCTGATGTCGCTCGCCACTGATCTCGATGGCCGTGGTGAGGAATAGAAACGCCTCCACGTGGAACTCAATAACGCAGATGCGTCACACGCTACTTGGTGCGCTAACCGCTGCGCCACCGCTCCCCACCACACAGGCAAAGATCCCTCCGCATATCCTTTAACAGGCTGTTGGGGTAAGTGCTGTTAGCGAGTAGCAGCACCTGTGAAGGGTGGCGCTGTGGCACACGAAGGGGTGGGTGGCCAGCACCACGCCCGGCCACCTGTCCTGTTACGTACATTTACATAGCATATATACTTATTGTCTTACCTCAAACCTCCTATATGCACGGTTCACTACATAAGGTGCGAAAGAAGTTCTACGCAAATGAAGGGTTGCTCACCACCCAGCCATCGGGAAGCTGAATGCCACGCAAGCGGTAATACGGCAAGTGGCCCAGACTAACATGACGGCTTTTTAAACCCAGAAAATACTGCGACGGTGTACGGTAGAGATCCCGTGATGTCGTTGGCAGGAGCAGGCCATCGTGTGCCGGGCAGTCACGAATCTACATTTGCCCCTGGCTGCGAAATCTTGGCAGCACCCTCCTGAAGAAGAGTCCAATTATCAGTCGTACTGCTACGGAAAATATTCTCGAGTTTCCTGGCTGGCTACTGGCTGGGCTCCTCTGCACCCCAACAGTAACTCTGTTGTTGTTGTTGTTAGTGGCTGCTGCGGGCTGTTGCTACCGGAACTAGCTGGGTAACTGCCTATGTGGGATTTTCCTCGTGGCAAATAAACACCGAGTTGAATTGAAATGGTGGAAGAGGTTCGCAAGCCGTAACATTTCTAGCAATTCCGTAGGAGTGGGAGTAGTGAACATAGAACACGACACGGGGCATACAAAAGCTTTAAAATCCTAGAGTCTATGGGCCTCTGCCTGAGTCTATGGGTCTCTTCGTGAGTCTGTGTCTCTGCCTGAGTCTATGGGTCTTTGTGCGAGTCTATGGGTGTCCAATGTGGAGGGTTAGGATAACAAACAACACTGGTGATGATTACCTGAACCGGTCCTGGGCCTCCCTTAGATCGACTCAGCTTCAAATGAGTACCTGGTGCGATGTGTAAACATCGTCACTAGGGAAACAAAGGCGGCCGGGCGTGGTATTGGCCACCCATCCCCTTCGTGTGCCGTGCCGGCATTCATAGGTGCTACTCACTAACAGCACTTGCCCCTACACTCTGTTAAGTCTACACGGGGCATCTTTGTCTTGTCTTTGTGCCTCCAGGTGAAACTCGCCGAGACGCTGCTGGACTCCGAGAAGCAGGAAGGGCAAAACTCGCCCACCGGCTGTTTCCGAAAGCTCTTCGGTAACCACCGTCAACATTTTCTCCATTTCTCATTTTTCCCGAACTTCATTCGGATTGCGCTCTCCGCGGCGGGTCCCCGGATTAGAGTCTCCGTTGGGGAGTCTCGCGGAGGGCAGGCGCTGGGAGCTTGGTGACTCGTCCCGAGACCTCCGGTCGAGATGAAAGACTCCGATTCTTGGATGCGTCGGCCTATGCGTGTGTTCGACAAAAGGAGCTCGTGGAGGCGGAATATCGCAGACCCACTCCCGAGATCCCTTTCAAGTGACTTGCGGTGCATGCTGGAGTGCGCTCAACTTGTTGTTTTTGCCGCGTGCAGTGTGCGAGCTGTTGCCCGTGATCTTGGGCAACCCGGACGTGTGCCTCCCTCGCCCGCTGCTCTACAAGTACCTGCTCAAGGCAGCAGAGTTCTACATCACCACCACGACGCGCACCAACCTGGGCGACTCTCCGCACCCCGGTAAGCAGCCAGGGTCTACCCACTGCTGGACGAATGTCTCCACGAGCCGTCGCGATTCTTGCGATACGGCAATCCGTTGAGCCGAGTTCGTCGCTCCATCTCCGTGGTGGACGTACCCACACAGCTGTCAGCCGCCTTCCTTTGCCTGCCACTCTGTCATGCGTCTCGATCTCACCGGCCATCGTTGTCGGGAAGCTGCCTGCTGCTAGTGACGATGTGAACGTTAGGTCTTGTGACGATAGCGATTCCATTGATGCTGATGATGAGGTTGATATTACTACTACTGCTGCTGATGCTGCTAGTGAAGCTGATGTTACTGATGTTGATAATTCAACTGTTGCTGCTGCTCGTGATGCTGATGATTCGACTGTTGCTGATTGTGCTACGAGTGGTGTTGCTACAGCTGATGCTGCTGATGCTGCTGATGCTGCTATTGGTGCTCCTGCTGCACATTACATCGGGGCTGCTGTTGATCATGCTACTAATAATACTGCTGCTGGTGATGCTGATGCTGCTGATGCTGCTGCTACTGCTGCACGTCCTGATGTTCCCAGTGGTCCCGGACTGCGGCGTGGTGGAGACTTGGTCCCGTCTCACTCAGCTGCTTCACACCATCGGCTCTCGCTGCGACTGGCAGACCGACCGCCCAAACCGGTGAGCCTGGGCAGCCGGCAAAGTGTCAACCCCCCCCCTCCCCTCCCCAGAGAGAGTCGCTAGAACACCTTGGTGCCTTGTCTGGTTGCGTAGCAACTCGGCATCCCAGACCCGGCCATTGTGAACCCGCTGAGAGAGACACGCGGACTGAGAATCTGGAATCCCGCGGGCATTCTGCACCCCGATGGGACAGTCCGATGCCCTCGCCCCTCCTATTTTATTTTCTACAGTAGCTGAGAACCGGCCCAAATGCTCAAACGCCAAAGCGGCCAGCAGCAAACAGCGCTATCGAAGGAGTAGATACAAGAGTTTGTGACGAAGCAATCCTTCTCACCTTGAATTGAGCGAGGTTGTTATGAGAGCTTGGGAAGAGGGACGACGATGACGACGACGACGAAGATGATGACGACGACGGGAGGAGGGAATTCCACGGTGGAGCAGCGCGAGGCAAGAAGCGGATTGAGAAGTGATCTTCGGTGTGGTGAACGAGCGAGCGAGTGGCCGTGTGGGAGGTCGGACGAGTAAAGAATCCTCCGATTGGCACGGTGGGCTACGTAGGGTGCAAAGGAAGTGCAAGATACGTACACGTGTGTTGTTGTTGTGGCCTGCAATACGGTGGCTGTGTGAGTGAGCCAGTAGGTTTTTTGTATGTTGAAATCAGCTTGTCAATCTAGATGACGGTTTAAAGGTGCATAGCTCCAGTGGCTTCCTAATATCGGAAAGAAGAGCGTTCCAGACGGCCGCAGAAGCGCGTCTGAAAGCGCGGCGCGATGCGGTGACCGCCGTCTTTATTGGACGGGTAGCCAAAAGCCGCTGCTGCTGCTGCTGCTGCTGCTGCTGCTGCTGCTGCTGCTGCTGCGAGGATGACCGGAGCTTGCGTGACGGTGGTTTATGCTCCTTGACGAGATCAGCAAAGTTATTGTGGTTCATTCGTGGCAAGCGCTTTGTGGCTAATGAGCATGACCTGATAGGCCAGTGTGTGTGGCCGAGCGAGTGGGTGAGTGAGTGGGCGAGCGAGTGGGTATTGAACTTATTTCGCACCGTACGTAGCCTACTGCTCTAATTGGAGATGCGAGGGGGGCGAGTGGGTGTCTGTGTGAGTGCGTGTGTTGGTGGGTGAGTTGGTGAGTGGGTGACTTGGTGAGTGGGTGACTTGGTGAGTGGGTGACTTGGTGAGTGGGTGACTTGGTGAGTGAGTGCGTGAGTGAGTGAGTGCGTGAGTGAGTGCGTGAGTGTGTGCGTGAGTGAGTGCATGAGTTGGTGAGTGAGTTTTTTTGCGACCTGCAAATGTGGCTGTGGTCGAACGCAACTACGGGGATGAGACGAAGCAGTCCTGCTTCAGGCAAGGGGCCCCCACGTGTGGACGGGAGAGCGTGCGCGCCTGAGCCCCTGCCGTCGCGACGGGCGCTCCAGGCCGTGTGGGGAGGTGCTGCAGCGCGTGCGGGAGGCGTCGCGCTACGTCACCGGCGGGGAGGACGAGGCGCAGAGGAACCTGCGGCAGCAGGTGGTGATGACCGCCGCCATCCTCTTCTTCCGCCACGCTCACGGCTACCTGAGCAGCGTCACGCCCACGCTTTTCTCGGGTGCGTATGTGCGTGCCCGTGTGCGTTTGCGCGCGCGTGTGTGTGCGTGTGTGCGTGTATACTTCACGTGGCGTCCTCAAGGTGCTCTTGGCCTGGCACAAGTGTCGTGGTGACGTCACCGCCACTTAGTGGCGAATGGCGGTTGTTGTGCGTGCACGTTCGTGTGTGTGCGTATGTATACGTTCACGTGCGTCGTGTGTGTACCTGCGTGTACGTTCGTGTGTGTGGGGAGTGATAGTGGGAGTGAGCGGTGGTGTAGCGGTTAGCGCGCTCCGCTACGAACCTGGTGACCTGGGTTCGATTCCCGCTCACGGCCAACACCAGCAGTGACGATTGCCTGAACCCGTAGCGCGCCTCCCTCAGGTCGACTCGGCCTCAAATGAGTATCTTGTGCGGCCACCCACCCCCTTCGTGTGCCATACCGGCCTTTCCTAGGGTGCTACTCGCGAATGCCACTTGCCCCAAAAAAGTCTGTTGCGAAGCTGTACGGGGGATCTTTGTCTTTGTGTGCCGCGTGCAGGCGTGAGCGGGGTGGGCGGGCTGGTGCTGCTGGAGGAGCTCTCTCAACTGTTTGTGAGCGGCGAGGCCGACCGCGCCAAGCACGGCGGCGGCAGCGGCAGCAGCAAGCGGCGCAAGCTGGAGGAGGGCGGCCAGGCAGGGACCTCACCGCTCGCTCGACGCGCCCCTGTCCTACACCGTCGTACCACGAGTTGGCTGCTATAAATGCGCCATGCGGCTGTTTTTCAGAAGCGACGTGGCCACAAATTATAGCCGAACGAAGTGGCTTGTCGCGTGGAAATCTATAGCAGCAGCCAAACACTCTTAAATGCGCGACGTTGAGTCTAAATGTGGAGGGGGAAAAACCGGAGGACCCGGAGACAAATCCACGCAACCACAGAGAGAGAGAGAGACACGCAAACTGAAAATATACAGCAGCAGGCGTCGGGGTCGGGATGGAACCCACGACCTCCTGCGTATCAGGCGAGGTAGTTAACGTCTCGCCACCACGGATGCGTGACGTGTGGCACCTGACTATATGGTAGTCGTAGTAGTGATAACATAATTACTTACCCAGGAATGCCACACACTCTGCTTCTCCAAAGATCCACCCGTGGCGAGTGACTCTTGTTCGGGAGGGCCCTGCCTGTGTCTCTCGCTGTCACAGGTGGAGGCGGTAAGGGTGGATGAACCGCGATTTTCACCGAGCGCTAACCGGCGTGCGTGCGTGTGTGCGCGTGCCGCCGCTGTCTCCCCGGCAGAGCGCGGAGGAGGAGTACTACCGCAGCCGGCACGTGGCGGTGCCGAGCGGGCTGCTGCCCGGCGCGGCGGGCCCGGCGAGCGCCGCCGACGTGCTGGAGAGCTTTCGCATCGCACGCGAGGCCTGGGACGTGCTGCACGCTCACCCGGCACTCGAGAAGGGTGCGCGCACGCGTGGGCGTGTGTGTGTGTGCCTGTGTGTGTGCACGCGTGTGTGCGTTCATGGAGCGGTAGTGTAGCGGTTAGCGCGCTGCACTACGAACCTGGCGACCTGGGTTCGATTCCCGCTTACGGCAAACACCAGTGACGATTATCTGAACCGGTCCTGGGCCTCCCCTAGGTCGACTCAGCCTCAAATGAGTACCCGGTGCGGTGTGTAAACATCGCCGCTAGGGAGACAAAGGCGGTCGGGCGTGGTGCTGGACCACCCACCCCCTCGTGTGCCGTTCCGGCCTTCATAGGTGCTACTCGCTAACAGCACTTGCCCCTACAGTCTGTTAAGGCTACACGGGGGAATCTTTGTCTTTGTGTGGGCAAGAGAGTGGCTTTGCGTGCGAGTGTATGGCGGTGATCGCGGCTGTGTGTTTGTGTAGAGTTCCTGTGGGTGCGCATGCAGTGGAGAACTGAGACATGGCCCTGGCTCCTTGCGTTCCTGTCGGACATGCTCATATACCAGGTACAGAGACAAAGATCCCCCGAGTAACCTGCACGGGCTGTTGGGGCAAGTGCCGTTAGCGAGCAGCACCACGCCCCGGCCGCCTTTCCTTCAATCTCATTTATATTTGTCGAGCACCTTCATTCGACGTGCTTGATGGCCATGGCTTACCCAACGGTGCGTGGATTGAGTAATGAGTGACGGAGATAGAGGGGTGCTTAGGGGTCACGAAAGCAGAATAGGAAGAGAATGGGGAGTGGATAAGAGGTGAGCTTTTAAAGAGGAACGGAAGGAGGTGAAGGGGAGGGACTGCTTCATGTACAAGGGCAGTGCTGAGTCTATGGGCAGCGTTGAGTCTATGGTGCAGTGTTGTGTCTATGGTGCAGTGTTGTGTCTATGGTGCAGTGTTGTGTCTATGAACAGTGCTGAGTCTATGGTGCAGTGTTGTGTCTGATCAGTGTTGAGTCTATGGTGCAGTGATGAGTCTATGATCAGTGCTGAGTCTATGATCAGTGCTGCGTCTATGGTGCAGTGTTGTGTATATGGTGCAGTGCTGAGTCTATGGTCAGTGTTGTGTATATGATCAGTGCTGAGTCTGTGATGCAGTGTTGTGTATATGATCAGCGCTGAGTCTATGGTGCAGTGCTGAGTCTATGATGCAGTGTTGTGTATATGATCAGTGCTGAGTCTGTGATCAGTGCTGAGTCTATGATGCAGTGTTGTGTATATGATCAGCGCTGAGTCTATGGGTAGTGTTGTGTATATGATCAGCGCTGAGTCTATGGTGCAGTGCTGAGTCTATGATGCAGTGTTGTGTATATGATCAGTGCTGAGTCTGTGATCAGTGCTGAGTCTATGGTTCAGTGTTGTGTCTATGGTCAGTGCTGAGTCTATGGGAAGTGTTGAGTCTATGATCAGTGTTGAGTCTATGGTGCAGTGTTGTGTCTATGGTCAGTGCTGAGTCTATGGGTAGTGTTGTGTATATGATCAGTGTTGTGTTTATGATAGTGTTGAGTCTGGGCAGTGCTGCTCATTGTAGAGGGGAAGTTGATCCGAGTGGAGGGGTGCAAGTTGGGAGAAGGATCAGAAACGGGATTGGGCACAGGGAGGAGGAGGAATAGAGAGAGAGGCCGAGAGAAGATCGGGAAAGACACCGACTAGCCTCTCACCCACCCTTCACCCGCGTCGAAATGGGAGAATCCTATCGTGGATAATTATGAGACGTGCGAAAAAAAGGACTGCGGTTAAAATGAAGTGCAAGATGTAGCGCCCGTTGCTTCTCGCCCGCGGCGACGCGCGCAGGGGCAGTACCGTCACGCCATCGCCACTCTGCAGCAGCAGCAGGCCGGAGGTCAAGCCGGTGTCAAAGGTCAAGTGTGGGCAGATGCCAAGCGCGTGCTGCTCCAGATGGCGGCGTGCCACCTGGCTCTGGGTGAACACCTGGTACGCACGCGCGTGTGTGTGTGTGTGTCTGTGTGTGTGAGACGATTATCTGAACCGGTCCTGGGTCTCTCCTAGGTCGACTCGGCTTCAAGTGATTACCTGGTGCGATGTGTAATCATTGCCACTGGGGAGACAAAGGCGGTGGGGCGTGGTGCTGGCCACCCACCCCCTCGTGTGCCGTGCCCGCCTTCATAGGTGCTGCTCGCTAACAGCACTTGCTCCGACAGTCTGTTGCAAGCTATCCGGGGAGGATCTTTGTGTGTTGCGCTACCGCCTAGGATTCAACGGCACGAGACAAATCAGCTGTTCTCCTGCCCGGCCTGTGGGCATCTCTCTCGCTCCCGTGTCAGAAGATTTAGTGCGGTTTACTCGCGGGCGGTTGCGTGGCTGCCAGCTGAGGTTGAAAGTGCCCACGCGTTAGCGCTGTCCCTCTTCGGAGACGATCCGACACGGACTTCACCGTCGCGTTGAGGCTGCATTGCCGTCGGGGTACTCGGCGCAGGGAGAAAACCGGACAAATTGAATCCCACCGTGACCCACGGCCTCCGCTGGCCAGAGCCGCCCTCCCAGTGCCCCCTCGTCTCACCGCGGCCTCGCGGATCGCGATCGCTCCCTGCGCTGGCCCCGGCGTGGGCGCGACCGTTGAACGTCGCTAATCAAACGCTTCCTTCCGAGGATGAAGCCTTCGGAGGCTTCTGGCTGGACCTCAAAGACGGTGGTCACCACATCGCGAGCTTTTAGATGCACCTCTGCGGTCGTCTGGAACGCTCTTTAGGACGCCACGGAGCTATACACTTTTGAATCTGGATCGAAAGCTAATTCCTTTAAAGCTTCCTTTTGTGTTGAGTTTGTCGTCGTCCCCGCCGCAACTCCAAACAGCGCGGTTGGCTACGCACGGTGCCAAGGATGTTCATCGTACGCGCACGCATACGGAGCGCCGCGCGTGATTTTTCTTCCCCGTTTTAATGTTGCGCCCGTTGCGCAGGCGGCGTGCGAGAGGGTGCTGGAGGTGGCGCCGATCGTGGCGCCGAACGCCACGGACGTGCCCAGGCTTGCCGACGAGCCGCCGCGCGTCAAACCCAAGTTCGCCAAAGGTGCGAACGTGTCCCGCGTTTCTCGCTTTTACAAAGTCGCGGTGGCTGAGCAAAGGCCCGAAGAAGGCCCAAATTGCCAAGTGGTCTGCAAAGAAATATGTATAATTGGCACGATCACCATTGAAGGTGTCGCAGTTTGGAGTTCGTTTGTTTCTCGAATTGACTTGAGGCTGTTATTATTTATAGGAGCTTCGGGGGAGGGGGTGGGGGGTGGAAGAGACAATGAGGGGAGAGGGAATTCCGAAGTGGAGCAGTGCGAGGGAACATGCAGAAATAGAAGTGACGTGACCCGCAGTGTGGTGGGTGGGTGAGTGGGTGGGTGGGTGATTGTATTGTAACCCGCAGTGTGGTGGGTGAATGGGTGGGTGCATGAGTGGTTGGGTCAGTGAGTGGGTGCGTGAGTGGTTGGGTCAGTGAGTGGGTGGGTGAGTGGGCGGGTGATTGTGTTGTGACCCGCAGTGGGGTGAGTATGTGAGTGTGTTGTTTTGACCTGCAGTGCACGCATGCGTGTTGAACTTCTTGCGCGTCTCTGTACGTCTGCACGTGCTTGCGTCACGAGTAGCGCGTGCGTGTGTGTCGCTCGGCGTGCGTGTGCGCAGGTTCAGACCTGCAACTCGTCCCGTGCACTGACCGCGCCATCATCTCGCACGGCGTGCAGATCGTCCTCTCCTGCTTCAAGGTAAGCGGCTCGGTGGCTGACGACGGCGAGGAGGGGGGGGGGGGGGGGCGTGTGTGGGGGCACGGCTCGGGGCACGGTGTGTGGGGGGTAGCCCTTCATCCAGCGGTGGATAGAGCAAACCCGACGCTACTTGCGTGGCAACGTCAACCATCGTCGTCTTTGAATCCCCTCTCCTCGCCTCCCCCGCCAGCCGCACGCGTTCAGCGAGGTGTCGCGCGACGACCTGGCGCTGGGTCACGTGATCGTGATGCTGCAGCACGATTGGCCGAAGGGCGAGGCGCTGTTCCTGCGCGCCGTGGAGCGGATCTGCCTGCAGGGCGGCCTGCAGTACGAGAACTTCTTCAACTACGTCACCAGTATCCTCACGGCCACCGCCGTCGCCATGGAGACGGAGCCATGAAATTGGGGCACCGCGTTGGCGAGATGTTGACTACCTCGCCTGGTATGCGGCAGGTCGTGGGTTCGATCCCGATCTTGACGCCTGCTGCTGTGTATTTGAAGTTTGCGTGTCTCTCTCCCCGTGGTGGTCGTGGGTTTTCTCCGGGCCCTGCCATCTCCACCCAGACGAGACGCGATGTACAACACTCTCGCTACGGCAAGGGGCGGAGGCGCCGCGGTTAGCGCACTACGCTACAAACCATTACCACCGCCCGAATTTGATTCCCGACCACAGCTGACATGAGTGGGGAGTGATTGCCAATCTGGACCTGGGCCTCCCCCCCGCCCCCATTCGACGAACCAGCACTGACTGCACATTTAGATTCAACAGGCGTTTGAGTATTTGGCTGCTGCTATACATTTACACATGATGATGATGATTGGCTACTTCGTTGAGCTATCGTTTGTGATAGCCAGATGCCTCCGGTGGAGCTCTGTGTATATGGAGAGAGGGCTTTGCACCTTGGCACTGTGGGAGGCGAGTGGTGGGACCCCGTTAGCCATGGGCTTCAGGTGACACCTGCCGTTTGTCCAGGACGAAGAGAACCCATAACAGCAGTAAAGTCTCTTTGCATCCGGCCTGCATGAGTGCCACGGTGGCTAGGAGATGTTAACTACCTCGCCTGGTATACGGAAGGTCGTGGGTTCAATCCCGACCCTGACGCCTGCTGTAAATTTGGAGTTTGCGTGTCTCTCTCCCTGTGGTCGCGTGGATTTTTCTCCGGGTCCTCCCGTATTTGGCTGCAATACATTGCCACGCGATAAGCCACTTCATCTGTGTAGTTTTGGTTTAGATTATATCGGCACGCATGCAAGCCCTTGGCGGATTGTGGCCAATTCGTTACAGTCAATGGGACCCTTTTATTTCCATAATGAAGATGATGAAAAAAAAATACTTTAACCCTTTCTGGCAAGAACACAGGGAGCTGTGTTTAGATGTTCACACACCAAATAGACACACCTATTGCAAGGCATCATCAAGTTTGCATTAACCACACACACTTGTGGTAAAGCATGCAAACAACCACGCTTTGGTAACAATGTATCCGTTGTGCTTGAAAATGATTGGCCTCCGCCAGAGAAGGCCTCCTTTGTGGCCTTGTCTCACCGGTGCTGTCGAGCAAAAGATTCCGAAAGGCCAGAGTGGTGGGGCTGTGTGCCTATAGGGCTGTGTGCCTGTGTGCCTGTGAGCCTATAGGGCTCTGTGCCTGTGTGCTTGTGTGCCTATAGGGCTGTGTGCCTGTGAGGCTGTGTGTTTGTGAGCCTATAGGGCTGTGTGCTTGTGAGCCTATAGGGCTGTGTGCTTGTGAGCCTATAGGGCTGTGTGCCTGTGGGGCTGTGTGCTTGTGTGCCTATAGGGCTGTGTGCCTGTGTGCTTGTGAGCCTATAGGACTGTGTGCCTGTGTGCTTGTGAGTCTATAGGGTTGTGTGCCTATGTGCTTGTACTCGTCAACCGTGATTTAAAAATACAAACCGAGCGCTCACCTTTTGGAGAATTGTAATTGTTGTCGATTCAGCAAACGCATAAACACCCTCATCGGCGACAGCTCTTGCGGCCGTGCTGCCTGTTGCCTGTGGGCCTGTGGGCCTGTGCTCAGCAACTGCGAGACATTAAACGTTCCTTGACCCTGCGGCTCCCCCCCCCGCGTGAGACGTGGACATGCTGGAGGAGTTTGCGTTCCTCCGCACGCCGGAGGGCGGTCGCGTGCAGCTGGAGCTGCTGCCCAACCAGGCCGTCCTCACCAAGTGAGTGGGTGGTGGGTGGGGGAGCTGTGTGTGTGTGTGTGCACGCTACGAACCAGGCCATCATCACCAAGTGAGTGGGTGGGTGGGGGAGCTGTGTGTGTGTGTGCACGCTACGAACCAGGCCATCATCACCAAGTGAGTCGGTGGGTGGGGGAGCTGTGTGTGTGCGTGCACGCTACGAACCAGGCCATCATCACCAAGTGAGTGAGTGGGTGGTGGGTGGGTGGGGGAGCTGTGTGTGTGCACGCTACGAACCAGGCCATCATCACCAAGTGAGTGGGTGGGGGAGCTGTGTGTGTGTGCACGCTACGAACCAGGCCATCATCACCAAGTGAGTGGGTGGGTGGGGGAGCTGTGTGTGTGTGCACGCTACGAACCAGGCCATCCTCACCAAGTGAGTGGGTGGGTGGGTGGGGGAGCTGTGTGTGTGTGTGTGCACGCTACGCATCAGGCCATCCTCACCAAGTGAGTGGGTGGTGGGTGGGTGGGCTGTGTGTGTGCGCGCGCTACGAACCAGGCCATCCTCACCAAGTGAGTGGGTGGGTGGGGGAGCTGTGTGTGTGTGTGCGCGCGCACGCTACGAACCAGGCCATCCTCACCAAGTGAGTGGGTGGGTGGGGGAGCTGTGTGTGTGTGCTTGTGCGCACGCTACGAACCCGGCGACCCGAGTTCAATTCCCACTCACGATCAACAGCAGTGACGATTATCTGAATCGGTCGTGGGCCTCCCCTCGGTCGACTCAGCCTCAATTGAGTACCCGGTGCGGTGTGTAGTAAACATCGCCACGGGGGAGACAAAGGCGGCCGGGCGTGGTGCTGGCCACCTACGCCGTCGTGTGCCGGGCCAGCCGTCATAGGTGCTGCTACTCGCTAACAGCACTTGCCCCTACAGTCTGTTACAGGCTACACGGGGGAGCTTTGAACTATCCAGACGTCACAGTCGGGATGGAACCCACGACCTCCTGCATACGGTGCGAGGGAGTTAACATCTCCTAGCCACCCTTTTAGATCTCGCGCTGCATTTCAATCGGCTCTATGGACGCAGACGGCGTAAATTGCTCTCCGCGTCACGTGGGGGGGGGGGGGGGGGGGTCACGTGGGGGGGGGGGTCGCGTGTAACAACAGTCCGGCGAGTGCAGCAGCGTGGAACGAGTTCATTCGAGTGGGGAGGAGTAGGTTGGTGAACGCGAGAGACGGAGCGGAGCGGAGCGTGGTGGTGGTGGTGGTGGGGGGGGGTCCACAAGGTCTGGATTTAGGGAAACCCCCCCCCCCCCCGCGCTCTAACACGGCCGCTCCCCCCTCCTCCCCCCCCGGCTCCCCATGGCGCCCAGGCAGCAGACGGTGACTCGCGGCGTGACCAAGGGGGTGAAGGAGGACTTCCGGCTGGCCATGGAGCGCCAGGTGTCGCGCTGCGCCGAGCCTCTCTTCACCGTCCTCCACCGCTTCCTGCTCAGCGAGCGCAACCTCCTCCTGCAGGGGCTCGGCTGACCCCCCCCACTCTCCAATGTCGCCCCCCCCCTCCCCAACGTCGCCCCCCACCCCCTCCCCAACGTCGCCCCCCCCCCTCCCCAACGTCGCCCCCTCCCCAATGTCGCCCCCCCCCCTCCCCAACGTCGCCCCCCCCCCTCCCCAACGTCGCCCCCCCCCCTCCCCAACGTCGCCCCCCCCCCTCCCCAACGTCGCCCCCCCCCTCCCCAATGTCGCCCCCCCCCTCCCCAATGTCGCCCCCCCCCTCCCCAACGTCGCCCCCCCCTCCCCAACGTCGCCCCCCCCCCCTCCCCAACGTCGCCCCCCCCCCTCCCCAACGTCACCCCCCCCTCTCCCCAACGTCGCCCCCCCCCCACTGCCCAACGTCGCCCCCCCCCCTCCCCAATGTCGCCCCCCCCCCTAACGTTACCCCCCCCTAACGTTACCCCCCCACCCCAACCCCCACCCATTGCAGGAGTTTGTATTTGTCATGGTGACGTTCTAGATGTTGCTACCGTGAGATGTCTTCGTGCCGACTTGGCAACGTCCACCAATGCTGGACATCTTGGGCTGCGCCGCCGCGCGTGGCACCGCCGTGTCTATCGTGGGGGGGGGGGTGATTGTTTGACCATACTTCACCACGCTGGTCAGTGCTGGTTAGTGGAATGGGGGCGGGGGAGGCCCTGGCCCAGACCGGCTATCGCTCGCCGCCGATGTCAGCCGTGGGCGGGAATCGCCGGGCGGTGTCAAGGGTTTGTGGCGTGGTGCACTAACCACTGCCCCCGTGCCGTTGGGAGTGTTGTACATTGTGTCTCGTGTGGGCTGGGACATGGTAGGGCCCGGAGAAAACCCACGAATGTGAGAAGACTCGCTTTGTCTTGTATCAACTGCATTGTAAAGTAAACGTTGGTTGTCTGCCTTATTGCCGTGGGTCTCTGTCAACATTTCAGCGTCTGTGAGATGTGTAGTGGTTGCAGGAATTTTCGCGATTGTGGACGAGTGGCAGGGTGGATGAGTGGTTGAATGGATAGGTGGATGAGCGAGTGAGTGGTTGAGTGGCTGGGTTGGTGGATGAGTGAGTGGTTGAGTGGCTGGGTTGGTGGAGGAGTGAGTAGTGTGGATGAATGAGTGGTTGAGTGGCTGGGTGGATGAGCGAGTGAATGGTTGAGTGGCTGGGTGGATGAGTGAGTGGCTGGGTAGATGAGTGAGTGGCTGGGTAGATGAGTGAGTGGTTGAGTAGCTGGGTGGATGAGCGACTGAGTGGTTGAGTGGCTGGGTTGGTGGAGGAGTGAGTAGTGTGGATGAATGAGTGGTTGAGTGGCTGGGTGGATGAGCGAGTGAATGGTTGAGTGGCTGGGTGGATGAGTGAGTGGCTGGGTAGATGAGTGAGTGGTTGAGTGGCTGGGTGGATGAGCGAGTGAGTGGTTGAGTGGCTGGATGGATGAGTGAGTGGCTGGGTAGATGAGTGAGTGGTTGAGTGGCTGGGTGGATGAGCGAGTGAATGGTTGAGTGGCTGGATGGATGAGTGAGTGGCTGGGTGGATGAGCGACTGAGTGGTTGAGTGGCTGGGTGGATGAGCGACTGAGTGGTTGAGTGGCTGGGTGGATGAGTGAGTGGCTGGGTAGATGAGTGAGTGGTTGAGTGGCTGGGTGGATGAGCGACTGAGTGGTTGAGTGGCTGGGTGGATGAGCGACTGAGTGGTTGAGTGGCTGGGTGGATGAGTGGCTGTATGAAATCCACACGGCCGGGCGTGGTGCTGTCCACCCACCCCCTCGTGTGCCGTGCCGGCCTTCGTAGGTGCTACTCGCGAACAGCACTTGCCCCAACAGTCTGTGTGGGCTAACTCGGGCGATCTTTGTGTGTGGGGGGAGGGGGAATGCTTGTGTTCTGGAACGTATCATGCGTGACTGATGAGCGCCGTGCAGTTTGAAGGTTCCTGCGTGGTGCCATCCTCCACTCCGATCTCCAGGGGAGGCGGGGAGGGTCAATGATTTGTGTGGATCGGGCACAAAAGCACGTGGCCCCAGAATGACGGCTTGTGATTGGATAGACGACTGACTCTGATTGGATAGCGACAACTTGAACTGAACTTATCTTCTTGGTTCTTTCGGTAAAGTCACGTAGAAGGGAAATAATAAAATAATAAAAATAAAACATAATAGAATCATTCTCACGACGCTTCGGCCACAACGCAAGCAGCCGTCCTCAGGTGAAGAACAGGTCTGTCGGGAAGACAGCGTCTGTCGTGAGAATTATGTTATTATGTTTTATTTTTATTATTTTATTATTTCCCTTCTACGTGACTTTACCGAAAGAACCAAGAAGATGAATCCCTGCAGTCACGAAAGCTTTAAATCGAAATTTAACTGAACTTATCTGTTACACGGAAAAATCCTGTGCAGACAGTTACCCAGTTAGCATTTGGTGGCAAATATTAGTAACTATTTAAACTAAATTTCGATTTAAAGCTTTCGTGACTGCAGGGATTCATCTTCTTGGTTCTTTCGGTAAAGTCACGTAGAAGGGAAATAATTAAATAATAAAATATTTTCATTAAATTAATAACTATATTTTAGTATCTATATTTAATATTAGTAATTATATTTAATATTAGTAACTTTAAACTAAATTAATAACAATTATTAGTATCTATATTTAATTTTAGTACTATATTTAATATAAATAACTATATTTAAAATGAATAACTATATTTATTAGTAACTATATTTCATATTAGTAACTATGTTTAATATTAGTACTATATTTAATACAAATAACTTTAAAATTAATAACTATATTAGTAGCTATATTTCATAATAGTAACAATGTTTAATATTAGTACTATATTTAATACAAATAACTATTTAAAATGAATAACTTTATTAGTAGCTATATTTCATAATAGTAACTATGTTTAATATTAGTACTATGTTTAATATAAATAACTATTAAAAATGAATAACTATATTTATTAGTAGCTATATTTCATAATAGTAACTATGTTTAATATTAGTACTATATTTAATACAAATAACTATTTAAAATGAATAACTATTTATTAGTAGCTATATTTCATAATAGTAACTATGTTTAATATTAGTACTATGTTTAATATAAATAACTATTTAAAATGAATAACTATATTTATTAGTAGCTATATTTCATAATAGTAACTATGTTTAATATTAGTACTATATTTAATATAAATAACTATTTAAAATGAATAACTATTTATTAGTAACTATTTCATAATAGTAACTATATTAATATTAGTACTATATTTAATATAAATAACTATTTAAAATGAATAACTATATTTATTAGTAGCTATATTTCATAATAGTAACTATGTTTAATATTAGTACTATGTTTAATACAAATAACTATTTAAAATGAATAACTATATTTATTAGTAGCTATATTTCATAATAGTAACTATGTTTAATATTAGTACTATGTTTAATACAAATAACTATTTAAAATGAATAACTATATTTATTAGTAGCTATATTTCATAATAGTAACTATGTTTAATATCAGTACTATATTTAATATAAATAACTATTTAAAATGAATAACTATTTATTAGTAACTATTTCATAATAGTAACTATATTAATATTAGTACTATATTGAATATAAATAAGTAACTATATTAATAGCGACTATCCTAATCACATGCCACAAGTGGGGGTCCTAGTGTCTGTCATAGGTGGCCTAGTGTATCTACCATCCGCCTGTTTTGAATAACCTTACTAGAGACGCCACCATTTCCTTTACATTCAGTATCATCACGCTTGGCAATAACGGCGTAACTAAAGCAGTAATCGCATCATTATTCCAAAAATAATAATTGAAAACCACGATTTAAAAAAAAAAATAACTTGTTTGGAAGCAGCAAGTGGGGGTCCTAATGTCTGTCTATAGGTGTCCGTGTGGATCGATCTCGGGGTGCCTGCGCGAATCGAGCGCGCGCCATCGCCATGGCGGGAAGGAACATCGCCTACGTGAAGCCCAAGGAGCCGTCGTTCCTGCGTAAGTTCAAGAAGGACGTGGGCTTCAAAGAGGGGCCCAACGTGGACACAAAGGTAGCTGGCGCCGCGTCTCTATCGTCGTGTACAGTGGGGGCGTACAGTGGGTGTACAGTGCGCACAGCTGCGTGTACAGTGCGCGCAGCGGTGTGTACAGTGCGTGTGCAGTTTGAATGTTTGTGTGCAGTGTGAGGGTGCGTATACAGTGTGTGCAGTGAGTGTGTGTGCAGTGTGTGTGAGTGTGTGTATGCAGTGTGTGGGTGTAGTGTGAGTGTCCACACTGTGCGTGTATTTGTGCAGTGTGAGTATAGTGTGTGTGTGCAGTGTGAGAGTGTACACACTGTGTATGTGTACAATAGGTGTGTTTGTGCAGTGTGTGTGCGCTGTGTGCAGTGTGTGCAGTGTGTGTGTGTGTATGCAGTGTGTGTATACAGTGTGTGTGTGTATATACAGTGTGTGTGTATACAGTGTGTGTGTGCAGTGTGTGTGTGTATTCAGTGTGTGTGTGTGTATATGCAGTGTGTGTATACAGTGTGTGTGTATATACGGTGTGTGTGTATACAGTGTGTGTGTGTGTATACAGTGTGTGTATACAGTCTGTGTGTGTGCACTGTGTGTGTGTGTATACAGTGTGTGTGTGTATACAGTCTGTGTGTGCACTGTGTGTGTATACAGTGTGTATACAGTGTGTGTGTGTGCACTGTGTCAACACTGGGGGAGATAAAGGCGGCCGGGCGTGGCGCTGACCACATCCAGCCCCATATATGCCGTGCTCGCTAAATAGCAGCACTTGCCACATCAACTTGCATAGGCTGCACGGGGGCCCTTTGTCTTTGTGCGCAGTATGTATAAAGTTAATTGTGTTTGTGTCTCTGTGTGTGTGTGGGTCAGTGTGTGTGTGTGTGTCTGTCTGTGTGGGTCAGTGTGTGTGTGTCTGTCTGTGTGTGGGTCAGTGTGTGTGTGTGTCTGTCTGTGTGTGGGTCAGTGTGTATGTGTGTCTATCTGTGTGTGGGTCAGTGTGTGTGTCTGTCTGTGTGTGGGTCAGTGTGTGTGTCTGTCTGTGTGTGGGTCAGTGTGTGTGTCTGTCTGTGTGTGGGTCAGTGTGTATGTGTGTCTATCTGTGTGTGGGTCAGTGTGTGTGTGTGTCTGTGTGTGGGTCAGTGTGTATGTGTGTCTGTCTGTGTGTGGGTCAGTGTGTATGTGTGTCTATCTGTGTGTGGGTCAGTGTGTGTGTGTGAGTGTCTGTGTGTGTCTGTCTGTGTGTGGGTCAGTGTGTGTGTGTGTCTGTGTGTCTGTCTGTGTGTGGGTCAGTGTGTGTGTGTGTCTATGTATGTGGGGAGCGGTGGTGTAGTGGCTAGCGCTACGCTGCGCTACGAACTCGGCGACCCGAGTTCAATTCCCGCTCACGGTCAACACCAGTGACGATTATCTGAACCGGTACTGGGCCTCCCCTGGGTCCACTCAGCCTCAAATGAGTACCTGGTGCGGTGCGTAGTAAACATCGCCACTGGGGAGACAAAGGCGGTCGGGCGTGGTGCTGGCCACCCACCCCCTCGTGTGCCGTGCCGGCCTTCATAGGTGCTGCTCAGTAACAGCACTTGCCACTACAGTCTGTTGAGGCTACACGGGGGATCTTTGTCTGTGTATAGTTTTCTAAACTGTCTCTTTCCTCGGTACAATCGGGATTCTGAGTCTGCTTCACTTTTTAGATCACGTCTTGAAACTCACACATTTATCCTAAAGGCTTTCCATGTAATTTAACATAAAAAGTCTGATTATTTTCCTCTGTAATTATTGATTTTATCATAGTTCTTAATTTTATTGGAGTGTAATCATTGATATTGTTAACAGATGTAGGTTAGATGTTACATGTGTTGAACTTCTTTCGCAGCGTACATAGCGAACCGTGTAGTTTATTTTTTATATGAAAGACACTTTATAAGCTGGAGTAGACTCCGTTATTCGCGCTCATGATTGGGAGAATAATTCAAAATCTCGGATAATCCAAAATCTCGGATAATCCAAAATGATACATTTTGCGTGAATCTATATGCCAAAAACACTAGTTTAGGTATAAATTCTCATAAATTAAAACTCACAAAATAAATAATTGGATAAATCACTCAAAATGAAGCACAACTGACGATTTCGATTTAGAACCAATACTAACGATCGACCGATCAATGATGTGCGTGCTCAGCGAAACACTTTCCTGCTCCCGCCCAGCAGAAGACTCGGCCCACTGAGTGGATGACAGCAGCAGAGCCACGCCAATCAACGTCAATCAAACTCCACCCCCCACTGTTGTAATGATATGGCAACTACTGTACTGTAGGGGTAATTACGTGGATTTCGGATTAACCGGAGCAACATATTTGTTGGGGTTTAATCACCGTGTGACTTGTAATGAACATTTACAAGATGAGATAATTATTCATTTGGGCTTAAGGGAAAATCCACGAGTTATTAATTTACGTCAAAATAATGTACGTCAAAGGTGCACTGTTAATCCGCACATCGGATAAACCGCACGCGGATAATTGAGTCTACGGTTTACGTTATTATTGACCATTGCCCTAATGACCTTTGTGACCTTTGTCGACCCCTGCCCTCGCCTGCGCCTAGCGAGGACCGGCCATGATGCCTCACCGGGACGACGACGAGGAGGAGAAGGAAGATGAGCGGCCGCAGGTGGTCATCATGAAAGACGGCGACCTCACGGAAGAGGAGGCTCGCAAACTCCAGGGTACGGCAGCCGCCCACACGCCGGCAAACCGCTTTGCGGAGTGCGGAGAGGCCGTTGCGACGTCTCCTAAGTTGATAATTGTTTTTTTACCCTTCTATCTGGCAACAAAACTGACACCTTTTTACAAGGAGTCATGTTTGCATAGACCACAATACCTGCAGTCGTAATGCAAACAAAAAACACAACTCTGATTATGTGCACTGTCCTTGAAGTTGATTGGTCCACACCCGAGACAGCTTTCCTTAGAGCCTAGTCTCACATGGTGTTGGACCAGATGACGCCAAAAGGCGCACAACTCAAAGACAATGCACCATCAGAGTATGAGAGCTTGGGATAAGCATTTACACCATTGGAACCTCATTTGCCAGTAAAAATATAATTGTTTTTTTACCCTTCTATCTGGCAACAAAACTGACACCTTTTTACAAGGAGTCATGTTGACATGTAATGCAAACAAAAAACATAACTCTGATAATGTATGCACTGTCCTTGAAGTTGATTGGTCCACACCCGAGAGACAGCTTTCCTTAGAGCCTAGTCTCACATGGGTTGGACCAGATGGTCTATGTAAACATGATTCCTTGTAAAAAGGTGTCAGTTTTGTTGCTAGATAGAAGGGTAAAAAACAATTATATTTTTACTGGCAAATGAGGTTCCAATGGTGTCCGCTAAGTTGTTACGAACATTACCCCCCCCCCGCCACCCCGCGCGTGACGATTACAAAAAATAACCGACATCTCCAGAGTCTTGGCTGGCTGGCTGGGCGACTTTGATGACACCGCCGGTGAACGTTGACGATTCCTCGCCTTGTCTCCTCCCCCGCTCCCCCCCCCCCGGTGCGTGCATCCTCCCAGGTGGAGCCTCCCCGTTCGTCACCGACGACCGTCCCGCCGACGGGCGAATTCTCTTCCGCAAGCCGGCGAAGCGGGAGGGGGGGACCCCCGACACCAAGTCGGGCGCCAAGTCGGCAAAGCGCTGGCGGGAGGGGGGCAAGCAAGAGGGTGGACGTTCAAAGAAGGGCGACTCCGCATCAGCGTCGTCATCGACGTCGTCGTCGACGTCGTCGTCGTCCCAGGCCGTGAAGAACGCCAAACTCCTGTCATTCGGAGAGGATGACGATGGTGGCGGCGGCGGTGGAGACTGAAACGTGCGAGGTGATGGTGTTTGGTTGATGGCCACGTTCTGTACGCCCCCCACTGCCACCGTCTCATCAGTGAGCTGCAAGTCATATGGGGGCTTTACTCTTTGGTTCTTTCGGTAAAGTCACGTGACTTTACCGAAAGAACCAGAGTATGGATTCCTGCAGTCACTAAAGCTTCAAATCAAGATCACATGGGGGCTGTTTAATCGTATGTCACCACAGTGGGCAGCGCAGGTTGACACCCGTGGGGGGGGGGGGGGGGGGGGGGGGTCTTGGTTGGTGGTACCGCTGCCTACCACTGATGTTGACTGTCTGGGAATTAATCTCAGATGGCCGCGGTTTGTTTTGCGGTGTGTTCACCACTGAGGCACACCAAGTTGAGGGGGAGGCGTGTTAAACTTGTTTGTGTCGGTCAACGTGTGGGTGTGTGTGTGACGGCTTTAATAAAACACATTCTGGATATCAACTGGGCACCGATGATAAAGACGTCATCTCTTGATCTCAGGCTTGTAACCTGGCTAAATGCTGCAATGGGCGACCAGCACGGCTGCTGATGCAGTGGGGAGCAGAGGGCAGCCCTGGAAAATCCACCCTTGGGCTGCCCGCGACTTCTCCCGCGTGGTGAAGATGTCGCGACGTCGTTTGAAGAAGACTTCGGCCATTTGTGCGCCGTGGGTGAGGTCCAAATAGGAGCAAGCGAACTGCAGACGACTCGACCGGGGAAACGCAAAGCGACATCGCCGCCCCCCCCCCCCCTGCTGAGAGAACTTGGCAACCCCTGCGAGGCTTTGCCGACGAAACGGGACTCTCTCGATACCGAAGCGGCTCTTGTAAACATTGGGAGTTGCCCACACGCAGGCCGCGCGCGTGCACAGGCAGCGCCGAGTGATATTAGAGTTTAATTTTTTTAGAAAAAGGCTGGAGTAGCTTTTATTTCCGTTTCAAATCTGCACAGCACAACAAACACGGTGGGGAGGGAGGGAGGGGGGGTTAGGGGCGGGGGGGGGTGTCTAGATCCACGCATTCGTCGTCTGCCCTCTGAGCAGCCGACGTCTCCGCTCGCGAGGCGAAATTCAACTTCGTTGCGGCTCCCATCACCCTCGGCCCTCCTCCCCCCGGAGAGCCACCGAGTCACGCGGCACCGATGGTCGCTGCTGCTTCTCGGCGCGTCGCCCCACGTCCCGAGCGAGCGGCGAGGCAACTTTAAAGCGGCCGCGTTCAAAGTTCACGACGACCGCAGCCGCGCGTGGCGGTGCAAATGCGAGCGTCTCTGCCGCGGGCAGCCGGTCCTGCGCAGGTTGCGCGCGACCGGTCGCGTGCAACTGTTTGCGAAAACAAAACGCAAAACGACCAAGCAAAACCCCACCCCCCACCACAACACTGTCACAATCGGCTGACTTTTCCTGCCATCCTATTGGCTGAAATCCGAGCGCGGTGGGGGGAGGAGGCAAAGGTGGCGGCGTCCACCTGGAGGACTCCTCACGCTCGCGAGTTTGCGTCCACCCCCAAGCAGCGGCCGCTTTCTCAACGCGTGACAACCTCCCTCCCCTCCGTCGTATTTTAAAGGGGAAGGTGGAGTGCGTCTTACAATGGCGGTGTCGCCGTGTGTCTGTGTGGGAGACCCAATTTGTTACCGCTCTGATACACACTGGGCACGTGCTGGAGGCGCGTCTCTTTAACTTTGTGGAGCTTCGAATAATCCGGAGTCGGCTCACTGGGCTGGTGGAGCGGGGGCGGGGGGTTAAGGCTGCACTCTGCTCAAAGTGTTGCACGCTACGTGGTTGTGTCCAAACACTGGGGGTTGGACCCCCTTACGCCAAACCGACCAATCGGACGTCGGCAAGGTGCCCGCCTCGTTCCATCTCGTTGGGAAGACAACATCCAAGATGCTCAGCTCACAGCGGACACGTCGCAGTGACCGCAGCTCCGACCGTCAGAGGTCCATCTGTGGCCGTGGACATCTATTGCGTTCACACAGGTACAATCACCGACTTGCAGCTTCACAGAGACCCGTTGCCCGTCACCTTGACGGAGATCTCTCTCTCGTCCCGAGCCGCAGTCGCTGCGAGTCGCACTCTCGTGGAGGCAGGCAGCGGCCGCGCCATCTCTACTTGCACCAGAGCGCCTTGCAAAGCGAACTCGCGAGATGTCCTGCCGCTCCCCACAGACGGTCACCACCCCACCACCACCGCCACCACCACCTCGCTCTCGCGTTGACAGCTCAGAATTTCAGTGACGTCCACCCCCCCCCGCTCACTCCCCCCACCGATCGTGAGCTGGGCGTGACGGCACATTGGGCCATCATCACCTCGCTGCCCAAGTTCACCGGGCTCTCGCCTCTTCATGAACTAACCGGCAATGGGTCTCTACAGCGACCGATACGACACCAGTTCGTCGATGCGCGGATGGGTGGACCACACACCACGCCAATGTGGAATTGCCGCCGCTGGATCGGGGTTGCAAACTGATCATGGAATGGCAAAGGGCCGGAACTTTAACCACGGCGAAGGGGCAAAGGTGCAGCCCTGCAACAGCTCGCCCTCTAGAGAGAGACACCCCTGGGGATGGTATTTGGCCAACTCTCCCAGTGTCTTGGAAGAGGTGGGGGAGATGACCCCACACTTGGCGGCACCACCGCACGCGACCTGCCGACTGACCGCCGCCCGTCCTCCCCGGTTTTAAAACAAAGTGGACACTCAAGACGGCTGCCAAATCCAAAACGCTGGGGCGACGAAAGGGGCGACTGGCGCCCGCCCAGATCAAAAGGTTGACGGCCGATCCACGACGCAGCTCGGCTTCCTTCCCATCAGCCGCTGTCCATGTGCCGAGCGCGGGCACAACCCACTGTTGTATTGTACTTCTACGCCCCCCCCCCCACACAACCACGCCCACCGCTGCTGTTACCGACCCACAGAGCGTCCGGCCTGACGAGGTCCTGTCGACTTAACCCCTACGGACACGCCTGCGCGCACGCCCGCACGCGCGCTCGCACCCAGGAATCCCTCATCCAGCAGCGGAGCGACGCGAGCCGGGAGGACCCGGCCGCTGGCTCCGTCCCCTGCTTGGCCTCGGAGATGCGGCAAGCCCCCGCGTCTCCGTCTGTTCTCGAATCTCTCGCGGCGGCGGCGACGACGGACCCCAGAGTTCGATTCCGGGCGGCGGCGAGCGAGAGGAGCGGGGAGCGACACCGGAACCGGTCCGGCGAAGTATGGTCGACGCTGCGCGCAAGGAAAGCCTTCGTCCAGCGGTGGATCGGCAAAGGGCTGTCGAGATCCACTGCTTTTTGGCGGCGGGGGGTTGGTGGGTCACGCAGGACCACCGCTGCACCACCGCTCCCTCCTCCCCCCCCCCCCCCCCCCACGCTAACTCAAAACAAGAATGAATACTAAAGTAATCGGATGCGCAACGACCGAGCGGGATCACACGGCACTACGGCCCACGACCTCTCGAGTGACCGGGGCAATATTGGACGGCCGTCGCAGAGGTCAAACCGCTTTGACCCCAACAGTCCAGCCGGGGGAAGCGTGGCCAAACATTCCCCCGTGGCCGAATGACCAACCCGGCGCAAGGGGTGGGTGGGGGTGGGGGTCCATCCAGCAGCGGATTGAGGACGGCGGAGGTGGGGAGGGGGTGTGGGGGCCGCGCGTGACGGCGAGGCGTTGTTGCCGTGGGCAGAGCGTCCCGGTGAGAGTCGGCGGAGAGAATCTGGTGGAGATTTCAACTCGGGGCACCGCGGTGCAGGAGGAGCCGGGGGGAAGCACACCGCACTCGGCGTCACGTTCGGAACATTTCCGATTCCCCGGGGCGATAGAGGAGTTTTTTTTATTTTTGCGTTTGTCATTTCGATGACCCCCACCCGAATATCACGGTGACGAATGAGAGACTCCCCTATCCTGGTCTCTTGTCGACTTCTCACCCCGGTAACCTCCAAACCTCAACACCTTGGCCTCGCTCCGAATCGAATCAATTTGGCCTCACTTTCACCGCTGAAATTCCGCCTCCAAGCTCCACCACGATCCCGATATCGTTTGTGGTTGTTTGTGTTCCATTGCCGAGACTTTAACCCCCTCCCTTTCGTAACGGCGAGCGGTCGTTTACCAGCTTGCGAGTAACGGCGAGCGCGGACGGGGGCGGGTTACAGCAGCCGCTTCCGAAGCTGCTTCAAGTAAACTCCCTCGCCTGCGGGGGCAGCCTCTCCATACGCCCTGCTAAGGAGTTACAATAATAACAATAATATATTATATAACAATAATACATCGTTGTTGTTATTCTGCTCGTAATTTTTCAGCACTTGCGGACGTTTGGCCAAGACCGGTTTACATTGCGCGTGAGGTTTACAAAACAATAACGACACTGACCAATTGTGTGTTTGTTCGTGCTGCCCTCCTTTACGTGGTGGGGAAACGTCTTGGAGCACTGCACGCGCGAGTAGCGACACGCGTCGCGACACGCGTCGCGACACGCGTCGCGACACGCGTGTTCATCGCACGCCGACCTGTGAGCTTTCAACCGCTGGAATTTAGCCCAATTTTACGACAAAACGATGCTTTGTGTGCAGTCCGGGCTGAGACCGAGTCTCTGCGCTGGGAGCGGCCGGTCTCACCACGCACGGCAGACTCCCGAATGCGAACCCGGCATCTCACGACGTTGCAAACTCGACGCCACCCCCCTCGCCCCCCCCCCGCTCGTCCCACCCCCACTGTGCTCTGTGGGAACACCGTCCCCCCAACCGCACGCGACCCACAGTGAGGGCCCAGCCACGGTGCAGGGTCACCAACTCCAAAGCCGACTCGGCGCAACGATGACGGCAAAGCCACCAGCCGGGCTCCCCAAACTCTCTCAGATTCCCCCAAACTCTCCCAGACTCTCCCAGACTCTTCCAACTCCCTGCAACACTTGCAAGCTCTCCAATACTCTACCGATATCATCCCAACTCTCCCCCAAACTTCCTACCCCCCCCCCCCCCCCATAGAACCCCTTCACAAAACTCTCCCAGATACCCCCAAACTCTCAAACTCTCTCAAACTCTCCGATGCTCTCTGCCAGACTTGACTGCGTAGAGGAGTCACTGACGAGGTCGGTGACTCCTCTACGCCCCCCTCCCCCCTCCCCCCTCCACCACCCCACCGCGGGCGGCTTCGCGCCGAATCTACGCCGCGGATAAAATTCGAGAGCAGTTCCGCGTGCTGTCTCGGAGCGTGGTGGTGGTGGCTTCGTGCTCCACGCGCCCTCGGGCACAGAGAGGCCCCGTTCCTCTTTGTCCACCTCTCCTCTTCGTCCACCTCCTCTGCTCTCCGTCCACCTCCTCTGCCCTCAGTCCACCTCCTCTCCATCCTCCTCCCCACCGCCGAGTGAGTCTCTGCGTTGTTTTGTTTCCCGGTCGACAGCGCGGGGGGCGTGCGATCGTCCTCTGTGTGTGTGCGTGTGTCCGTGTCATCTTGTCGGTGGGGGGGAGTGGCGGGGGGGTGGGGGGATGGGGGTCCCCCGGGGATCGGTCACTGGGGGGCCCCGGCGATGGCGGTGGCGGGGGTCACGGGGACCCCCCCCGCGGCGTTCGCAGGGGACAGCATCGAGCCCACGGCCGTCAGGCTCCCGCGGGGAGAGTTGATGGCTGCAGGAGGAGAGCGCAGATACACAGATATACACACACACAGATATACACCAGAGGTCGCAATCGGGTACCCGATACCCGTACCCTACCCGATACCCGGTCACCCGTACCCGGCCGGGTATGGGTACGGGTTCCCGTTTGCGACCCTGGCGCGGCCGGGTACGGGTACGAGTAAGGAATCAAAACCTGTTTGCGACCTCTGATATACACACAGATATACACACACCTATACACACCCGTGAACTGCACGTGAGCCGCGTGTGAGCCGTACGTGAGCTGCACATGAACTGCACATGAACTGCACATGAACTGCACGTGAACTGCACGTGAGCTGCACATGAACTGCACGTGAACTGCACGTGAACTGCACGTGAACTGCACATGAGCTGCACATGAACTGCACATGAACTGCACATGAACTGCACATGAGCTGCACATGAACTGCACGTGAACTGCACGTGAGCTGCACGTGAACTGCACGTGAACTGCACGTGAACTGCACATGAACTGCACATGAACTGCACGTGAACTGCACGTGAGCTGCACGTGAACTGCACGTGAACTGCACGTGAACTGCACGTGAGCCGCGTACCCGCCACGTTGCTGGCCACGTTGCTGCCACCGCCGCTGCTGCTGCTGAAGAGGCCGGCAGACGATCCCTTGCGGCCATGCTCCTTCACCACGGGGTCTGAGACGAGACGGACGCACAGGGACGACGGGGTGAGACGGACACTATTCGTGTCTGTGTTGTGTATCTCGGTCTTTGTAGTGCGCCGCGCGATCAACCCGGCAACCCGAGTTTGATTCCCGCTCGCAGCCAACACCTAGGTCGACTCAGCCTCAAATGAGTACCTTGTGCGGTGTGTAAACTTTGCCACTGGGGAGACAAAGGCGGCCGGGCGTGGTGCTGGCCACCCACCCCCTCGTGTGCCGTGCCGGCCTTCATAGGTGCTCGCTAACAGCACTTGCCCCAACAGTCTCACAAAAGAAGGGGTGCTCCATGCTATTTGTATCTCCATGTGGGTCTGTCTATATGTAGGTATCTCTATGTAGATCTGTGCCTCTGTATCTCTATGTTTCTTAAGTGTACCTCTACGTAGCTACGAGTCTGAGAGACACAGAGAGGAAGGGGGGGGGGGGTCTCACAGAAGTAGGGATGCTCCATGCCCTCGCGCGCCGTGAGCCGCGCCTGGTGGTCGTAGCGCAGGAGGTTGTCCAGGAAGTCGAGCGCCTCCGGGCTCACGAGGTGCTGGTTCTCGCTGTGCACGAACCGCTCCCAGCGCTTGCGCGAGTGCCTGCGCCGCCACCACCACCACCGCCACCACCGCCACCACCGCCACCACGACCACCACAAAACACAAAGATCCCCCGTGGAGCGGTGAGCATACTGCGCTACAAACCCGGCAACCAGAGTTCTATTCCCGATCATGGCCAACACCGCCAGTGATGTTTATCTGAGCCGGTCCTGGGCCTCCCCCCTAGGTCGATTCGGCCTTAAATGAGTACCTGGTGCGGTGTGTAAACATTGTCGCTGGGGAGACAAAGGCAGCCAGGCATGGCGCTGGCCACCCACCCCCTCGTGTGCCGTGCCGGCCTTGATAGGTGGTGCTGCAACTCGCTAACACCACTTGCCCCGACAGCCTGTTCGAGGCTATACAGGGGGGGATCTTTGTCTTTTTGTATGTAACAGAGGACAGGGACACGCACCTGCCCAGGATGTCGTTGAATCGCGGGTCCAGGTCGATGTTGTATTTGTCAATGTAGTTGAAGAGGTCTTCTGTTCCCAGAACCCGCGCTATGCGCACCAGCTGTGGCACAGGCAACGCAGTCACACGTCGGCATGCGCAGGGAAGGAGCCTGGTGGTGACACGGGGTGTGGTCTACTGCCACACTTTGTTTGTTGATTAACGGTTGATTCAGTGACAGAAGGTGTGGCCTGATAATTTAAGTCTTGAGCTTGTGACAGAAGCCATGGTTGAGATATCGATACCCCAGTCTAGACAGAAACCCCAGTGTCTACAGGTAAAAGCCCTGGCCTCCAGACACATACACTCCATGCAGACACAAGCCCTGGCCTAAAGACAAGCAATGGGCGACATACAGAAGCCCTGTCCTACAGACACAGGCCCTGACTTACAGACAGAAGCACTCCATACAGACACAAGCCCTGGCCTACCGACAGAAGCACTCCATACAGACAGAAAAGCCCTGGCCAACAGACACGAGCCGTGGCCCTGCGCCGCACGTGCCTGGTCGTAGTTGTCGTGTCCGTGGAAGAAGGGCTCCTTGCGGAAGATCATGGAGGCGAGCATGCAGCCCAGACTCCACATGTCCAGGCTGTAGTCGTACATCTGGGAAGGGGGATTTCACGGGGACGTCAGATTGTAAATGTTGTGGCTTGGCTCTCCAACACACCGGTTAGTGCTGTACTAGTGACGAATTGGCAAGTTCTGTTTACGTGACAACCCTTACTAGTTGGCTGTGTCGGGTGGTGGCGGGTTTTAACGACACATTTACATATTTACGCGATCTAACTCCAAAAAAACTGCATTATGGATGATATAGATCGCGAAAGTCTCCTACGTGTTAAACTGAGGTCAGTGGTGTCTGGAACAAAGACAAAGGTCCCTCCCCCCCACCCTGTAGCCTACACAGGCTGTTGGGGAAAGTGCCGTGAGCGAGCACCTCCAAGGGGGTGGTGTGTGTGTGGGCGGGCTGCGTGCATGCTACGTGTGTGTGTATGCTACCTGTGTGTGTATGCTACGTGTGCGTGTATGTTTGTGTGCGTTTGTGTGTGTGCTGCGTGCATATTGCGTGTACCCTGTGGGTGCACGGTTGGCTACATACGCTGCGGAAGACATGTATGCATTCGTACATGCGTGCTGCGTCTATGCTGTATGCTCTGTGTGTAAGCTGCGTCTATGCTGTGTGTGTATGCTGTGTCTATGCTGTGTGTGTATGCTACATCCATGCTGTGTGTACACTGCGTCCATGCTGTGTGGACGCAGTGTCTAAGCTGTGTGTACGCTGCGTCTATGCTTTTTGTACACTCCATCTATGCTGCGTGTACGCTGTCTGATTGCTGCGTCTATGCAGTGTGTACGCTGCGTCTATGCTGTATGCTGTGTGTGTGCTGTGTCCATGCTGTGTGTACGCTGCGTCTATGCCGTGTGTACGCTGCGCCTATGCTGTGTGTACGCGACATCCATGCTGTGCGTACGCTGCGTGTGTACGCCGCGTGTGTACGCCGCGTGTGTGTATGCCGTGTGTTGCTCTCACCTGGTAGTCCACCAGCAGCTCCGGGCCCTTGAAGTAGCGCGAGGCGACGCGCACGTTGTACTCCTGGCCCGGGTGGTAAAACTCGGCGAGTCCCCAGTCAATGAGACGCAGCTACAGCCACAGCAGCCACAACCACCACCGTCATTGTCACGGCAACCTTCACCACCACCACATCATCATCAATACGACGACAACCGTCGTCATCACCACCACCCCCTCGTGTGCCGTGCCGACCTTCATTGGTGCTACTCGCTAACAGCACTTTCCCTAAACGTCTGTTAAGGCCACACGGCTGATCTTTGTCTATTTAAGCACGTGTCTGTGTGTGTGTACGTGTGTAGTGGCATAGCGCTGGCTGCTGGCGAAAAAGGGTAGCTGCGTTGTACGGCTGTACTGACGTCAGCAGGCCACGATAGACACGAGAGGGGGGACATCTGGGGGAAAGGTCACAAAGGGGGTCACAGAGGGGGGCCCATCGGGAAGCCTCAGGAACCCGCCGGTAGGTTCCAGAGAGGGGCGTGGCCAGGGAGGAGCGAGGCCACGCTGAGAGTAAAAGAGAGGCCCCTGTAGGGGAGGCGGTCGCCCTCCAACAACAACGGAGGGCAGAGGAGCGACGCTCACAACAACTAAGCGCCTGGTGGCTAGAGCACAGAAAGTTGGCGCAGTAGGGGGCACAGGTGGTGCATCTACCGGTCATCTCGGTCATCTCAGTCAGTCAACCTGTGGCACCAGGGTCTGCCCCGTGACCTCCTGCCAGCGGGCGTTCGACACTTCACGTGGCCTCAAGGTGCACATGGCCTGGCACAAGCGTCGTGGTGACGTCACCGCCACTTAGTGGCGAATGGCGGTTGTTGTTGTTGTGCGTGCGTCTGTGCGTGTGCGAGCGAGCGTCTCGCCAGAGCGCCAGACCTTCCTGCTCTCGTGGTCGATCATCACGTTGTGAGGCTTCACGTCCCTGTGCATGATGCCCATGCTGTGGCAGAAATCCAGAGCCTGTCAATACCCGACGTGGAACGTACACGCACGCACGCAGGCGCGCACCCACACACACACACAAGCACGTGGTCAGCTCAACCGGTCACCCACGTCTCCAGACCCTCAAAACTCTTCCTCTCTCCCGAGTGCTCGGAGTGGCCCAGCCGTCGGCCGTCGAGGGCTGAAGGTCGTGGCGCTCACCTTGAGGATCTCGTACATGTAGAAGCGGATGTCGAAGTCCGATAGGGTCTGGTAGAGTTGCTGAAACAAAACAAACCATCGGCGGCCTATTAATGTCGGATTCGGAACGTTTTCTTGGACTGGAGGAGGACTCGGACACGCGGCGGGGCGCCGGTCGACCCCTGACACGAGAGGTCACCAGCGGGCGGTGCGGCCGGCGTCGTTGGCTCGTTTGAGCCGGGGAGAGATGGGCCAGAGTTCGACGTCGAGTGCACAACGGGGTATTGGCGAGTCGCGACGTCATCACGTGGCGTGTCCACCGAGGTGTCGCGGATGCGATCGGAATGTTTATTTATCCTGGAGGAATCCGATGAGCCATGAAGCTCTTTTCGCAATGTCCAGTAAGGGGCAAGGGGTCAGAACGTGACAATACCAAACACTACAACAACTGGAGAAAGGTAGACAAATCACTTGAAATAAAATATACAAATAAAACTAAACTGAGCTATTATGGCTCTTTTTCAGAAGCGACCTGGCCACAAATGACAGCTCACAAAGCGGCTCGTCATCATCGTGTGGATATTGATAGCAGCCGAATACGCATGGTGTCCATTCTCATCGTGGACGTGAAATAGCGGTGTGCCCAGAGAAAAATCCACGCGACCACCACGGGGAGAGAAAGACACGCAAACTCCGAATATACAGCGGGCGTCGTCAGGGTCGGGGGTCGAACCCTCTCTCCGCGGCGAGTCCCACGTAGCGACTCGACTCCCAACGCCACAGACGCGTCACAATTCATCGACACGGCGTCGTCGGCAGTGGCGCGCGAGCGACGGCACGCGACAGGAAACTCGACGTTCCGCCCCGCGGCGACGTGCCGCTCGTGTCGTATCTTCTCGGCGCGGGTCACGGCGCGGGAGGGGTGGACCGCGCGACGTTCAAAAAGGCTTGTGCGAGCCGCTGACGAGAACAGGCGTGGTGGTGGTGGTGGGGGGGGGGAAATATGTCTCGGCACGCACCTTGTAGTCTGTGTTGTTGATGAACTCGAACACGAGGGCAGGCGTGCGGGACTGCGGAGAAGACGCGACAAACACACGGCATGCACACGCACACACATGACACACACGACACACACAATACACGCAGACACATGACGCACACGACACACACACACACACGCCACACATGACGCACACGTTTAGAGTATTTGCCTGCTGCTATAAATTTCCACATGGCAAGTCACTTTCGTTGAGCTATCATTTGTCACTTCTGAAAAAGAGCTATACAGCTCAGTGGGCCTTACCTGGTAAAATAAAAAATAGTTTAGTTTTATTTTAAACGCACGACGCACGAAACGCACAACGATACACAACAACACACAATGCGAGCTATGTCATTAATCGGCATCAGAGTTTGAATCTCACTCACGACTAACATCGGTGACGAATATCTGAACTGGTCCTGGGCCTCCCCCAGGTCGACTCAGCCTCAAATGAGTACCTGGTGTGACGTGTAAAAACATCGCCACTGGGGAGACAAAGGCGGCTGGGCACGGGTGCTGGCCACCCATCCCCTTCGTGTGCCGTGCCGGCCTTCATAGGTGCTGCTCGCTAACAGCACTTGCCCCTACAGTCAGTTACAGTCTATACGAGCGAGTGAGTGAGCGGAGAGCCGTGCATCGCACCACGGGGTCCTTGACGATGTCGACGAGGGAGATGATGTTGGGACCTCCCCTCAGGTTCTCCAGGATCTTGATTTCCCGCTTGATCTTCTTCTTTTTAACCGGCTGTGCGCGGGCACACAAAGACACAAATACCAACAGTGACGGTGACGTCACCACGGCGCCTGTGCCAGGCCAGGTGCACAAAGACACAAGTGCGCACAAAGACAAAGGATTTCCCCGTATAGCCTGTCACAGACTATTGGGGCAAGTGGTTAGTGAGCACCTATGAAGGCCACACACACGCCCGCACGCAGACACACACAGACGCACGCGCACACAGATCTTCTGTGTAGCCTTCGCCGTTCTGAGACGTCTGCAAGTTGCAGGGTGGGTGTCTCCGTTCACCGCCGAATCTCGGAACGTGCGAGCGGCTCGGCGTTCATTTTATTGAGAGAGGCGCAGCAGCAGTAGCAGCAGCAGCAGCAGCAGCGCCGTTGTCTTTAACGACGTCGTTACTCACCGCACGGAACCGTAGCAACACGACCGCCGCCACTCTACGATAGCTAGCACCAAACCGTGCCACACTCCCTCCCAAACCGTGCCACGCTCCCTCCCAAACCGTGCCACACTCCCAAACCGTGCCACACTCCCTCCCAAACCGTGCCACACTCCCAAACCGTGCCACACTCCCAAACCGTGCCACACTCCCTCCCAAACCGTGCCACACTCCCTCCCAAACCGTGCCACACTCCCAAACCGTGCCACAATCCCTCCCAAACCGTGCCACACTCCCAAACCGTGCCACAATCCCTCCCAAACCGTGCCACAATCCCTCCCAAACCGTGCCACACTCCCTCCCAAACCGTGCCACACTCCCAAACCGTGCCACAATCCCTCCCTCCCAAACCGTGCCACACTCCCAAACCGTGCCACACTCCCAAACCGTGCCACAATCCCTCCCAAACCGTGCCACACTCCCAAACCGTGCCACACTCCCAAACCGTGCCACAATCCCTCCCTCCCAAACCGTGCCACACTCCCAAACCGTGCCACACTCCCAAACCGTGCCACACTCCCTCCCAAACCGTGCCACACTCCCTCCCAAACTGTGCCACGCTCCCTCCCAAACCGTGCCACGCTCCCTCCCAAACCGTGCCACACTCCCTCCCAAACCGTGCCACACTCCCAAACCGTGCCACACTCCCTCCCAAACCGTGCCACACTCCCAAACCGTGCCACACTCCCTCCCAGCCCGTGCCACACTCCCTCCCAAACCGTGCCACACTCCCAAACCGTGCCACACTCCCTCCCAAACCGTGCCACACTCCCAAACCGTGTCACACTCCCTCCCAAACCGTGCCACACTCCCTCCCAAACCGTGCCACACTCCCAAACCGTGCCACACTCCCTCCCAAACCGTGCCACACTCCCTCCCAAACCGTGCCACACTCCCTCCCAAACCGTGCCACGCTCCCTCCCAAACCGTGCCACACTCCCAAACCGTGCCACACTCCCAAACCGTGCCACAATCCCTCCCAAACCGTGCCACACTCCCAAACCGTGCCACACTCCCAAACCGTGCCACACTCCCAAACCGTGCCACACTCCCTCCCAAACCGTGCCACACTCCCAAACCGTGCCACACTCCCAAACCGTGCCACACTCCCTCCCAAACCGTGCCACACTTCCTCCCAAACCGTGCCACACTCCCAAACCGTGCCACAATCCCTCCCAAACCGTGCCACACTCCCAAACCGTGCCACACTCCCAAACCGTGCCACACTCCCTCCCAAACCGTGCCACACTTCCTCCCAAACCGTGCCACACTTCCTCCCAAACCGTGCCACGCTCCCTCCCAAACCGTGCCACGCTCCCTCCCAAACCGTGCCACACTCCCAAACCGTGCCACAATCCCTCCCAAACCGTGCCACGCTCCCTCCCAAACCGTGCCACACTTCCTCCCGCACGGCCTTTTTGTTCCGATTCCGATGACGCAACACGCACACACAGGTACGTCATCGTAATGGGAAACAGTTAACAGACTGTTAGGGCACCTATGACGGCTGGCACGGCACACTAGGGGGTTGGTGGCCAGCACTACGCCCGGCTGCCTTTGTCTCCCCAGTGGCGATGTTCACACACCGCATCTCGTACTCATTTGAGGCCGAGTCGACTTAGGGTAGGCGCAGGACCGGTTCAGATATTTGCTACCGATGTTGGCCACGAGCAGGAATTGAATTCGGGTCACCGGGTTTAGAGTGCGGTGCGCTAACCGCTGCCCCGTGCTGGCCTCCCACCCTCTCGTGTGCCGTGCCGGCCTTCGTAGGTGCTACTCGCTAACAGCACTTGCCCCGACAGTCTGTCAAGGCTATGTCCCCCGTTGTCTTTGTGCGAGTGTGTGTACGCTTGTACACGCGTGCGCACACACACTCACCATTTAATTAAACCTGCGTTTGTTTACCCAGGAAAGCCTCGCTGAACTTAAGGGCTCTTCCGCAGCGGCGGTTAGGGGATCCTGTGTTTTTTGCGAACGTTCTGCCGCCAAATCTCCGCAGAGACGCCCCCGCGCAAAAAACTAACAAGGGAGTTGTCAAGTGAATACTCCGGGGGTACTCGACAGACTGCACCGCGGTAAAGACCCCACGGCATCCGGAGGGGGTACGGACCGAACCCGTATCTCAAGCGCTGCTGCCTCAATGATTTTTAGCCATTTGCCATTACGAACCTCCCAAGAATCGGACACCCACACTCAGGACTCGAACCCGGGTCTCTCAGCGGCGCTGGTTCAGTGTTTCCAACACGGCCATTATGAACCCCCCTCCCACCCCCCCGAGTGAGTGAGCAAAGGAGTGAATTCGTAAATTAATGAGCAAATGAGTGAACGTGCAAGCGATTGAGCGATTGAACTAGTGAATTTATGATTGAATGAGGGGATGCGTTAGTGAATGAGTTGAGTAAATGAATGGGTGAACGACATAGTGAGTGAATAAGCGAACCAGCTCGTGAGCGAATGAGTAAGTTAGTGAGCCAATGAATGAGTGAGTGAGCTTGTGAGTGAATGAGCAAACGAACTAGTCAATAAATGAAAGCGAGCTAGTGAGTGAACGAGCGAGCCAGTGAGTGAATGTATAAGTGAGTGAATGAGCGTGCTAGTGAGTGGATGAGCGTGCTAGTGAGTAAATGAGTTAGCGAGTGAATGTGCGAATGAGTGAGCGAGTGAATGAGCGAACGAGCTAGTGAGTGAATGAGTAAGTTAGTGAGTCAATGAATGAGTGAACGAGCTAGTGAGTGAATGTGCAAACGAGCGAGTGAATGTGAAAGCGAGCTAGTGAGTGAATGAGCGAGCGAGTGAGTGAATGAGTTAGTGAGTGAATGTGCGAATGAGCGAGCTAGTGAATGAGTGAGCGAACGAGTGAGCGAGTGGGATCACCACCTTGAGGATCTTCACGACCACCTTCTCGTTGCTCGTGATGTTGATGGCCTCAAACACCTCGCTGTATTTCCCCCGTCCCAGCTTCCGCACCAGCTGGAAGTCGTCCTGGTTCCTGTAGCCACGCGGGACGAACGAAACGCCACGGAGCCACAGCGCGCGAACGTCAACACGAGCAGCCCGACCCGGCCATTCGACCGGTCACACCCCCCCCCCCTCCTCATCATCCTCTCCTCTCGAGTCCTGAAGAAGAACCACTGCCAGAAACGTCAGCCTCTTACACGCACACAGCACTGTTGTGATAGATCACACACAAACAGACGCGTGTTGTAATAGGCCACACAACACAAGTGTTGTGTGGCCTATCACAACACACGTGTGTGTGTGGCCTATCACAACACACGTGTGTGTGTGTGTGACCTATCACAACACACGTGTGTGTGTGTGTGACCTATCACAACACACGTGTGTGTGTGTGTGACCTATCACAACACACGTGTGTGTGTGTGTGACCTATCACAACACACGTGTGTGTGTGTGTGACCTATCACAACACACGTGTGTGTGTGTGACCTATCACAACACACGTGTGTGTTGTGACCTATCACAACACACGTGTGTGTGTGTGACCTATCACAACACACGTGTGGTGTGTGTGACCTATCACAACACACGTGTGGTGTGTGACCTATCACAACACACGTGTGTGTGTGACCTATCACAACACACGTGTTGTGTGTGTAACCTATCACAACACACGTGTTGTGTGTGTAACCTATCACAACACACGTGTTGTGTGTGTGACCTATCACAGCACACGTGTTGTGTGTGTGACCTATCACAGCACACGTGTGTGTGTGTAACCTATCACAACACACGTGTTGTGTGTGTGACCTATCACAGCACACGTGTGGTGTGTGTGACCTATCACAACACACGTGTGTGTGTGTGACCTATCACAACACACGTGTGTGTGTGTGACCTATCACAACACACGTGTGTGTGTGTGACCTATCACAACACACGTGTGTGTGTGACCTATCACAACACACGTGTGTGTGTGACCTATCACAACACACGTGTGTGTGTGTGACCTATCACAACACACGTGTGTGTGTGTGACCTATCACAACACATGTGTGTGTGTGTGACCTATCACAACACATGTGTGTGTGTGTGACCTATCACAACACACGTGTGTGTGTGTGACCTATCACAACACACGTGTGTGTGTGTGTGACCTATCACAACACACGTGTGTGTGTGTGTGACCTATCACAACACACGTGTGTGTGTGACCTATCACAACACACGTGTGTGTGTGACCTATCACAACACACGTGTGTGTGTGTGTGACCTATCACAACACACGTGTGTGTGTGACCTATCACAACACACGTGTGTGTGTGTGACCTATCACAACACACGTGTGTGTGTGACCTATCACAACAGTGCTGTTTATTGCTCTCCGCCTGGCGGTTTGAGCATCTGCTCATCCAGCAACCCGAATTAATGTTTGTATTTTTTACTTAAATCCTGGCACACAGCGTGGATGTGTACGCGCGCGACGCGTGACCACCACGAGCATCGCCACCAGTTTGCCGACCCTACCCCTCCCCACCTCCCTTGAGCACCGTTGGCGACGTACGGTGTGGAAGAAGTTAAACATACATACTACATCACCAAAGGATCCCCCCCCCGTGCAGCCTTAACAGACTGTAGTGGCAAGTGCTGTTAGCGATCAGCACCTATGAAGGCCTCCACTGTGACACACGAGGGGGTGGGTGGCCATCACCACGCCCGGCCGCCTTTGTCTCCCCAGTGGCGATGTTTACTACGCACCGCAACGGGTGCTCATTTGAGGCTGAGTCGACCTAGGGGAGGCCCAGGGCCGGTTCAGATAATCGTCACTGGTGGTGTTGGTGGCCGTAAGCGGGAATCGAACTCGGGTGGCCACATTCGTAGCGCAGCGCTAACCGCTGCACCACCGCTCTCCATGCATCACCACCACCACCTCAATCATCATCATCATCATCATTCCACGTCGTCGCCAAACTCACCCCCAGTCCACCACGTGGGCCTCGTAGTCCCAGTAGTCGCGGGCACGGTGCGTGTTGGCGTCCGCGTACAGACGGGCCCGGCTCGAGGCCACGGCCGTGGGGCCCGCGGTCACCACGCCGCCACCACCGCCACCACCGCCGCCACCGCCGCCAGCCACGGCCACCACCCCGCCAGACATGGCCAGACGCGACCGGCACTCGAGACCGGCACGCAGCTGGTACCCCAACAGGGGGGCCCGCGAATGACCGAACAGGCGATGCGACCGGTGGCCCGGGAGGGCCCCCGAGAGACGAGGCCGCGAGCGGGTCGACGGGTCACCCGAGGACTTCCCCGGCAGGCGGGGAATGTGTCCCAGCCGCTGACACGACCGGTGGTGGCCTTGGTGCCTCGCCAAGTGGCCGAGCGACGAGACGGGCGACCCCGTGGCGGGCCGACGCGTGGCCAGGCGGGGTGGCCGACAGAGCCCCCAGCAAGGCCCCCTCTCTCGGCCTCGGCCGACGAATGAATGAATGAATCGACGGGGGCTGGGGGTCACCAACGACGCCGAATGGGGTCAATTGGTGACCCTGGAAGGTGACCAATCGGTGAAGCTCACAGCTGGATACCCACTAGCACCACCACCACCCACCACTAGCACCACCACCACTAGCACCACCAACCACCAGCACTAGCACCACCACCACTAGCACCACCAACCAGCACTAGCACCACCACTACCCCCAAGTGGCTCGATTTACCGACCCAATCAGCGCTGCCCTAGACGGTGGCGAAGTCCCCCGCCTGCCTGCTGCGTGGCCCTGCGGTTGGCGATGTCCACCACGAGGCGAGATCGCTCAGTGACCCCGAGACCACCCCCTGCGTGACCCCTCACTCAACAACCCACCACCACCCACCACCACCACTCTCTACCACACCACCCACCACCACCACTCTCTACCACACCACCCACCACCACCACTCTCTACCACACCACCCACCACCACCACTCTCTACCACACCACCCACCACCACTCTCTACCACACCACCCCCTGAGTGACCCCTCACTCAACAACCCACCACCACCACCCACCCACCACCACTCTCTACCACACCACCACCCCCTTGAGTGACCCCTCACTCAACAACCCACCACTCTCTACCACCACCACCACCACTCTCTACCACACCACCACCCCCTGAGTGACCCCTCACTCAACAACCCACCACCACCCACCACTACCACATCACCACCACCACTCTCTACCACACCACCCCCTGCGTGACCCCTCACTCAACAACCCACCACTCTCTACCACACCACCACCCCCTGAGTGACCCCTCACTCAACAACCCACCACCACCACTCTCTACCACCCACCACCACTCTCTACCACCCACCACCACTCTCTACCACACCACCACCACTCTCTACCACCCACCACCACCACTCTCTACCACCCACCACCACCACTCTCTACCACCCACCACCACCACTCTCTACCACCCACCACCACCACTCTCTACCACCCACCACCACCACTCTCTACCACCCACCACCACCACTCTCTACCACCCACCACCACCACTCTCTACCACCCACCACCACCACCACTCTCTACCACCCACCACCACCACTCTCTACCACCCACCACCACCACTCTCTACCACTCACCACCACCACTCTCTACCACCCACCACCACCACTCTCTACCACTCACCACCACCACTCTCTACCACCCACCACCACTCTCTACCACCCACCACCACCACTCTCTACCACCCACCACCACCACTCTCTACCACCCACCACCACCACTCTCTACCACCCACCACCACCACTCTCTACCACCCACCACCACCACTCTCTACCACCCACCACCACCACTCTCTACCACCCACCACCACCACTCTCTACCACACTACCGCCACCACTCTCTACCACCCACCACCACCACTCTCTACCACCCACCACCACCACTCTCTACCACACTACCGCCACCACTCTCTACCACACCACCACTCTCTACCACACCACCACCACTCTCTACCACACCACCACTCTCTACCACACCGCCACCACTCTCTACCACCCACCACCACCACTCTCTACCACACTACCGCCACCACCACTACCACCTCGGCGGCAGTAAAAATAAAAATACGAAGCAGCGCTTGCCGGGCCTATCGCGAAACCCCCAAACAAGCCGCTGTTCACGCGGCCACCACCACCGCGGCACCAGACTCGAGACTCATGGAAACTCTCTCGGCGACAACAACGACGACGACAACAACAACAGGCGGTGGTGGTGAAGCCAATGGCTGATCGCCGCGGGCTACAGGGCGCCAGGGCGCTCCATCACTCTCACTGACGCCGCCACCAGCAGCAGCCTGCAGCACCCCCCACCACCACCCACACCACCACCACCACCAACACCCACCACCCTCACAACGCCGCGCTCACTCCGTGATGTGGCGGCGGCTGCTGCTGCTGCCTCCCCACCACCACACACTACCACACCACCACCACCACCACTCTCTACCACACTACCACCACTCTCTACCACACCACCCCCTACCACACCATCACCACTCCTTATCACACCACCACCACCTCACCACCACTCTTCACCACCACCACCACCCCCACTCCCTACCACCCCGCCGGGCAGGTTGTGCTCCCCACCCACACCCCGTGCTCCTGCTGCTGCTGCTGCTCCTGCTCCTGCTGCTCCTGCTCCTGCTGCTGCTGCTGCTGCTCCTGCTCCTGCTGCTGCTGCTGCTGCTGCTGCTGCTGCTGCCCGGTGTCGGCCGCCTCAGCCGCGGCTGCCCCCGCCGCCTCGCCTCAACATGGACGAGAGACGCCCTCGACCCTCTCCGCCTCCTGCTGCTGCTGTTCCTGCTGCTCCTGCTGCTCCTGCTGCTGCTGCTCCTGCTGCTGCTCCTGCTGCTCCGCTCCCGCCTCCTCCTCTGCTGCTGCTGCTTCTTCAGCCGCCGCCGCGGTGACGTCACCTCGCTACCCCGCCAACACGGGCGGCCATCTTGGGTAGGGAGGGACGGCTCGGAGCCATGTTGGTACGGTGACGTGGGCACCGCCCCCCGCCCTCTCTCCCTGACCGCCCCCCCCGCCCATCTCGTCCCCCCCCCCCCGCCCATCTCCCCGCCCGAGCCCGCAACTGGCCACCGCCACGGGCGGCCATCTTGGGTAGGGACGAGCCCCATGTTGGTCCGGTGAAGTAGGACCCCCCCCCTCCCCGCCAGCCAACCATGTTGGGTAGGGAGGCGGACAGCTCGGAGCCATGTTGGTGCGGTGACGTAAGCCCCGCCCCTGCACAACCCGGGTGGCCATGTTGGGTAGGGGGAGAGCCGGACAGCCCGGCGCCATGTTGGTACGGTGACTTAGGCAGATTGTTATTGCGAGACTGACCATTTTGAGCACAATTACAAAAGCAAGACGCACAAAACAGATATAGGGTGGCTATAGTAACTCGTATATAAACTAATCTGTTAAAATGCAATTTGCTAGTGACGTTATCATAAAGAATCGACGGTGCAGCATGTGATTTAAAATAATCAAGCGATGCAATTCCGGTTATTTGACGCATGATCTATCAACTGCTGGATGTAGGTCTCCCCAGGCAGCCTACACCCCCCACCGTTGCTGTTCTTGACGCAACCCACTCTGCCCGCCCTGCTAAGACGGGCAATTGAGTGCCGTGCGTCGATTTCATGTCCTGGATACATTAAAAACGAAAGCAAACGTTGAGGGTGTGCGTCTTATAATCCGGTGTGAACATGCCGTGTTTCTATACAAGTTTGGGGTGGTGCGTCTTACATTCTGTACCGGCTTATAATCCGGAGATAACGGTAACAACGCGATTTAAAATGTTATTTTTGGGATATTTCCTGCACGTCATGATGCGCTGACAACGCTGCAAAGCCAACTTCACGCAGTAATCTTCTTGGTACTTTCGGTAAAGTCGCGTAGAATGGAAATAATAAAGTAATACAAATAAAACATAATAAATTCTCACGACGTTTCGGCCACAACGCAAGCAGCCGTCCTCAGATGAAGACTCTGTCTCCCCGACAGACCTGGTCTTCACCTGAGGACGGCTGCTTGCGTTGTGGCCGAAACGTCGTGAGAAATATTTTATTTTTATTATTTCCCTTCTACGTGACTTTACCGAAAGAACCAAGAAGATGAATCCCTGCAGTCACGAAAGCTTTCCATCGAAATTTCACGCAGTAAATTCAGTCGGGGGTTTTTCTTTTTCAAATAACTTTTTATTTCAATTTTACTTCTCACTATACATTTTCCAACGCCGTTCGAGTTATTCACTTAGCTCTGCTATCATTTCCGTTCAAGAACCAGATGATTGGTTTAATTAGCGAGCACCACCGGGACAACAAAGGGTTTGCTGGGACCCAGATGCGAGCTCCTGCCACAGCCTCCAACCGCTCAAGATGGAATGAGCAAACTCACTCACTCCCCCCGTTAATTTATCAAGAATCTTTAATCCAACTATCCCCATACGTAGTTTGTATTGTTTCCTCGTTGTGTAGAATTTTCATCTTTTTTGTGTTTCACTATTAATATTATGGCCCGTGTTGGGTGGCGGCGGATTGTGGCAGATTTGCCGTCGGGTGTTGAAGCAAAAATGACATGGACTTGAAAATTTTAAATCGCCAAAGACACGAAGAGATGATATCCACTGCGACATGTTGGAGCCGCTTAAAAGTGGGCCTCGCCAAGCGTGGCGGAGTTAATATCGACACCTCACCACCTCAATATAATATATCCTCGTGTGATTCCCCAATCACTACCTACGCCCGGTATCGTTTCACACACTCCAGGTGGATGATTCTTATACTGGCACCACCACACAGGCTAGAAGGCTCTCGGGATAAGGTTCGCCAAGCCACAGAGATGCAGATTTAGTCAATGAGCTTATAGCGCCAAGCGAGACGCATTCCTAAGGGATGTGCAGCGCAAGAGAGATGAAGACAAGAGATTAGGACTCGTGAGATGACAAGATCTTCTTGGTACTTTCCGTAAAGTCACGTAGAATGGAAATAATAAAATAAAACAATTCTCACGACGTTTCGGCCACAATGCAAGCAGCCGTCCTCAGGTGAAGACCTGAGGACGGCTGCTTGCGTGAAGACTTGGTCTTTACCTGAGGACGGCTGCTTGCGTGGTGGCCGAAACGTCGTGAGAATTATTTTATAATGTTTTATTTTATTATTTCCATTCTACGTGACTTTACCGAAAGAACCAAGAAGATGAATCCCTGCAGTCACGAAAGAAGCTTCACATCGAAAAAGAGATGACAAGAGTTAAGCAAGAGAAAGATGAGAGACCTGGAGAGACTAGAGGCACACAATTAATTAAGCATATCCATCTTCTTGGTTCTTTCGGTAAAGTCACGTAGAAGGGAAGTAATAAAAGAATAAAAATAAAACATAATAAAACAATTCTCACGACGTTTCGGCCACAACGCAAGCAGCCGTCCTCAGGTGAAAACCAGGTCCGTCGAGGCGACAGAGTCTTCAGGTCCGTCGAGGCGACAGAGTCTTCAGACTGTCGCCTCGACGGACCTGGTTTTCACCTGAGGACGGCTGCTTGCGTTGTGGCCGAAACGTCGTGAGAATAATTTTATTATGTTTAATTTTTATTATTTTATTACTTCCCTTCTACGTGACTTTACAGAAAGAACCAAGAAGATGAATCCCTGCAGTCACGAAAGCTTTAAATCAAAATTTAAGCATATCCAATTGTTGCCAACCGTGAGGTTTAATCGAAGGTTTAAAAACAGTAAAACGGCCAAAACGAGAAGCTAATTTCAGACTGAGCGGAGGTCCCGGATGAGGAACCTTGAGAACAAATTAATGGGACCGATCATGGGTCCTTCAACAAGGTGTGGTGGGGGTCACCGATACTCAAAGCTCCCCATACACTTGCCGAACAATGATAAAATGCCGTTCCACTCGGGCCCTCACCTTTTAAATCAAGTACAAAAATTAACAATTAAGTAAATCATCTGCAACAATGCCACGTTCCCTTCAACGGCCGGGCTCTTCTCAACACAATCTGCCGCAAACGGTTATCGTCGAGACATTGACCGTTGACAGGGGCGTTCTGTAAAACCTGATAATCCACACGATCTCAAGAGTTAATAAAGCCGGAGTGGGCTTCTGTTAAGTGGAGAAAAGAATAATTAAATTTATTGCGCGGCCATTCTGTGGGGGGAGACGTTACAATAAAACTACCAAAAAAATCGACTGTAAACATTCAAATGAAGCTAGCGAGCGTGGGTTGTCTTCAGAAATAAACGGGAACTGTGTGGGGGTGGTTACGAGGCCTTTCCGGGGACACTGATCAAATTGTCGCGCGTGCCCGTCTCGGTCAACGTTTAGAGGAAGGTAAAACCTGAACATGGCTGCGATTTTGCAAAGCCTGGGGCGACGCGTCGAATGATCCCCCCCCCCCCACCCCTGCTACCAGGCCGGAGGTTTGCTCGTGGCAAAAAAAAAAGGTTTTAAAGCCACGATC